CGTCTTCATTAGCCCAGTTTAGGAGCAGAACAGTAGGACGTTAAACCCCATTTCGGGGGGTGGATGGCTGAATGGTTAGCGTGTATCATAAAGTCTGTCATTGAGTCGACTGGCGTGGTTTCGAATCCCCGGTTGTACGTGGCAAGGAGTAGGGTCACCTGTCCAACCTCGTGGGTTTTCTCCGGTTTCCTCCCACTGCTAAAGACCCCTACGCGCAAGCGAATTATGTAAATGAAATTAAACCATATGTTAGTCCCGAAATGACCTAGTTTGTGTCGAGTGGACTTTAAACCCCATTTCTCTCTCTCTCTAAACCCCATTTCATTTTTACGTCAAGTTCAGATCCTGATTTCTCAAGTATGTATGTACTTTCTGTCATGATACATCTTAGAAATAGAATTAGATTATGAACTTTTATTACATGATTAGTCCATTGTCCTGCGGGGATTCTCTTACTTGATACCTTTTAACTGTTACTGCCTAATACTGATCGTGGCTCAGTTTACGTCATGCTTAATTCCAAGTTCATAAAGTATGATTGTACTCTTTGTCATGAAACAGACAGCTTTAGATTAATCTAATTAATAGTTATCGTGTATTATTATTATTATTATTATTACAGCATATTTATAGTGCGCTGTTTCATATAGTTCAGGGGCACTTTACAAAGTGACAATATAATCATAAATAAACAACAAGATTATGGACATGTTAACGATTGTATACAGAGTCAGTTAAATGCCTGATTAAATAAATGTGTTTTAAGTTGTTTTTTAAAAGAATATAGAGATGTACAACATCTGAAACTATTATTCTGTCTTTCATTTATTATGATGCACAGAAAGAAATTAAATCAACAGAAATATCGTCCCAGAGCTTCAGAATTTAAAAAATTCAATAATTTTGATAATGAGTATCCAATTTATAACCGTTTAATTTCTCAATCACTGTTAACAAATAAACAACCCAATTGAGTATTGATGTATAATGATTAATTTTTGAACAGTGGTCGGGAAATTACATACTTGTAAATTGGACGCTCATTATCAAAATTAATCAGTCAGCTTGAAACTGGACACAATTAAGTAGCCTACAAATTAGATGAATTTGGGGTGATTTTCCAAACTTTTTAAACAAAGATTTGATATTAAACGAATGTGAAAGAAATTATAGTGCTAAATACACAATATTAAAGATACATTATGGGAGATAAGATAACGAGATAACTGATTTGAAATTAGAGTAAAAACGGAAACGATTGAATGTAAATCAGTTTATATACATTCATATTACGGTATTATATGAGTTGCGACCCACTTGTGTCAATTTCTAGGTCCCAAATATTAGCGATTTAGCTCCTTTAAAACATGCTCGCTGTATCATATACATGTAGTCTGTCATTGAGTGAACTGACATGGTTTCGCTTCTCCGGTTGTACGTGACAAGGAGTAGGGTCCTCCGGTTTCCTTCCACAGCTAAAGATCCCTACGTGCAAGCAAATTATTGAAATAAAATTGAACCATTTGTTGGCCCCCAAAATGACCTAGTTTGTGTCAAGTGGACTTTAAAGCCCATCTCTCTCTCTCTCTCTCTCTCTCTCTCTCTCTCTATCTCTCTCTCTCTCACTTCAAAGCAAGCATCTAGTCTTTAATCTCATCACTGCTAGATAGATATGATACTTCCGGTTTAATCCAATCAAATGTCTTTATTTTTGCACATCCTGGCCCCAGATTCACAAAACATTCTGAGACTTAAAGATACATTATGGGAGATTAGATAAAGAGCTGGTAGTTCTCACTATAATAGTTAAAATCTAGGTAATGTAATGGGAATATGCTGAAAATATCAGTCAAATTGCCTCACTCTGAACCAAGATATTAGCGATTGAATTTTAGGCCTAGTCTCGATCCTCATTACTAAAGTCGGTACGATAAAAAACATAGTCTTGATTATCCATTATTGGATTTAATCATCAATGAGCATTGACCAGCAGATCGTATTCAAGTCCAGTAAACATTGCAGACTAGCGATGACATCGAGAGTTGATTATTGTCTGGATAAGGTAATTATTGTCTAATTAATAATTTAAATAACATTTCAGGCCTAAAGAAAGACCTGCAATAGGCAGAATTAGCTCTTGCATAATCTATGTTTAAGTTAAGGATTTACTCAAAATTGTTCGCCTTATTTTAACTAAAATATAGCCCTTTATAAAACTTTTTGTTGTTTTAATGTATCAAATGAAATGAAATGAAATGGGGTTTAACGTCCTACTGTTTTGCTCCGAACTGGGCTAATGAAGACGGTTAATGTATCAAATACATCAATAAGAAACTATGTGCAGAGTTTTGTGTTTCTGGATCAAAGATATATTTCTCATACACAGAGATTAAAAGTTGAGTTAATTCTTAACTTAAACATACATTATGCACATAGGCGTACGAGCTGGGGGGGCTGGGGGGGCGGCTGCCCCCCCATTTTGGGCACCAAATGCTGGGAAAAATTTGGGCACACAATTGTACTTTGTAAAAGTTGTATAAAAAAAGATAGTGTGTTCTTTAATGTGTCCAATTTAACAGCGAATTTATTATTATTATGTAACATACTAAGAACCTAACTACATTTTTTGGGCACCAACCACCACCGCCCCCCCAGTCAAAAATTTCCCCGTACGCCTATGATTATGCAAGAGCTAAATCTGCCTATTTCAGGTCTTTCTTTAGGCCTGAATTGTTATCTAAATTATTAATTAGACATTAATTAACCTATCTAGGCCGTAATCAACTCTAGATGGCAGCACTAGCCTGCGATCTTTAGTGGATTGTAATCTGATTTACTGCATAACTTTCCTTCTCGATTAAATGATTAAATGGATAATCGAGATTATGCTATTTATCATACTGACTTTAGTAACGATGACCGAGGCTTGTGGGAATTTCAGTCTCTTAGTTCTCGGTTCATAGCTGTGGATCAATTTGAATGAAATTTTCACCAAATTGCCTTTACATTATCTAGTTTTTAACTATTATAGTGAGAACTGCCAACTCGTTACCGAATCTCCCATAATGTATCTTTAAGTCTCAGAATGCTTTTTGAAACCGGGCCGGGTGCATGTCAAGACTTGAGAAACACCTTTCAAAATTTTCCGAGCCCTGTTCCCACTTTGCATGGTTTGACACCTTGGTGCACCACTCAAAATAGCCATGGTTTGTTTTTATTTTTAAGAAAGACTTATTCACTAATGGTGCCATGGTTTCTATCCCTAGCTTCTCATTGAGTCAGGGTGGTTGGATGGCAAAATGGTTCAAACATGCACGTTGCATCATTAGCTCTGTCATTGAGTCAAGTGGCGTTGTTTCAATTCCTTGCTTGTATGTGACAAGGAGTAGGATTGCCTAACCAACACCTCCTCTCTGGTTTTCTCCCACAGCTAAAGACCTCTACATGCAAGCGTATTGTTGAATAAATTGAACTGTATGTTAATCCTGAAATGACCTAGGATAGGTCAAGTGGATATTCAACCGTATTTCTCTCTGTGTGTACAATCTATACTGAAAAAAAAAAAAAAAAAAAAAAAAATGTTGAAATCCAATGAAGTAGAAGTCTAATATTACATAAACATCCAGCTCCTATATAAAATGAAAAAATTGTTTAAGCGGCATTTAGTAACTGGATTAGAATAACACATGACACAATTATATGTCTTGGTTACATATTTTTTATATATATCTTCATTGTACCACGGTTGGCATTTTTTGCTTGATAAAGATGGGACAACTCTTGTTGAAGCATCGCTGAAATAAAATCTTCAAGTAACTTGTATTCCATATTTAATGTGTCAAGTGTTAAAATGAAAAAAACATGAAATTTCTGTTTGTATCACATGACTCAGATCCTGCATCTCATATTTTTGTTTCAAATTTTAACTTATTTCTTAAAACAGGATTTAAAGTATAACAATTATCTACGATGCGATATACAAGTATTAAAAAGTTTTATAAATGATAAAAAGCTACCACCCAAAATGCATCCTGGATTAAATACTTTAGAATAGTCTAAACAGTCTTGTCAGTTGCTAGGGGGTTGTATTTTGCGATATTTTATAAATTACGAAACAATTGATAATTTAACAACAGAAACGAATGAAGATGATTTATGTGATCTGTGATATTAAAAAAACACGGAACACCGATTTTAGATTTTGTAAATTGATGAAATGGATTTAAAACTGTTTGAAGTATGATAAGAAGTATCAGTAGTTTTTATGTTAGAGAGAGAGAGAGGGAGAGAGAGAGAGAGAGAGAGAGAGAGAGGGGGAGAGCGGGGGGGGGGTGAGAAGAGAGAGAAGAGAAGAGAGAGTTTGATGTCCACTCGACACAAACTAGGTTACTTTGGGACTAACATATGATTCAGTTTTATTTCAATCGCTTTCGCATACGGGTTAGAGGAAATGGTTAGCATAAGGTCTGTCATTGAGTCAACTGGCGTGGTTTCAATTCCCCGGTTGTATGTGACAAGGAGTAGGGTAGCCTGTCCAATCTTGTTGGTTTTCTCCAGGTCCTCCGGTATCCTTCTAGTGCTAAAGACCCCGACTCGCAAGCAAATTATTGAAATAAAATTGAACCATGCGTTAGTCCCAAAATGACCTACAGTAGTTTGTGTGGAGTGGAGGTTAAACCTCTCTCTCTCTCTCTCTCTCTCTCTCTCTCTCTCTCTCCCACTTTTAGTGTACCTGCGGGATTGCTAATTAGTCCAGAAATATAATGTTCATAATGTCATCATTTCTAGATTTTTTAAAAGTACCTAAGAGGTTTTAAAACAATCATATTTAAAAAACATTAAAGAATATACAGTCACATTAGTAGAGTTTTTTTTCCGGTTCGAATCAAAGGGGAGTTGTTGAGTGGCAGAATGGTCTAATTTCTGAGCTCTAGATCGAATGGTCTGTTAATGTTATCGAGCTAACTGATATTGATTATGTAATTATTTGGTTTTTTCAGACTAGGCGCGATTTGGATGTGCCTGCAGGCGGCCAACACCACTCATGCAGGTGGTGGCCCACCGGGGCGTGCTGTGTGTAATGGAGGAGGAGAAATCGGTTGTGGTTGGGGTTTGCCTTCGAGCTGCAACACCTGACCGATTAATACAGATCTGTGTCGATAATTTTGGTAAGCCATCTTTGTTTTTAGGGGGGTTGGGTGGCCGAATGGTTAGCACGCTCGCGCTGTATCATAAGGCCTGTCATTGAGTCAACTGGCGTGGTTTCGAATCCCCGGTTGTACGTGACAAGGAGTAGGGTCGCCTGTCCAACCCCTTGGGTTTTCTCTGGGTCCTCCAGTTTTCTCTCACTGCTAAAGACTCCTACGCGCAAGCAAATTATTGAAATAAAATTGAACCATATGTTGGTCCCAAAATGACCTAGTTTGGGTCGTATGGACGTTAAACTCCATTTCTCTCTCTCTCTCGCTCTTTTTCGTAACAAGGTCTGTCATGGAATCAAGTTGCGTTGTTTTCAATCCCAAGCTTCTATTTGACAGGTCGTAGACTCGCTCTACTTGTACTCTTCGGCCGCGCCGGCCAGCCAGCGGGTCTCAAGGTGGCCACTTGTCGGTCGCAGGGCTAGGTTGCGGCCGAGAGAGAAGCGAACCAGGCGGCGGGAGGGAAAAGCTCAAAAGCCAGGTTCGGCCGCCAATCATAAGTTTTCTCCGGTTTCCTCTCACTGCTTAAAAAAAAACTGTATGCCCATGAATTATTGAAATAAAATAGTACCATATGTTAGTCCTGAAATTACCTAGAAACTGTTGAGTGGACATTAAACCCCATTTCTCTCACTCATTCAATGGTCAATTTCTATTGTCAAGAAACTATAATCTCTTAATAATTAGAGTGCAAAAATAAAACAAAAAATACATGTTGTGGGTTACAATTGGTTCTAAACAATTTAAAGAAATGGGTTTAACATCTTACTGGTAGTTTAATGACTCCAGGGGGGTCATGGTGGCTAAGTAGGTAAGATGCTGGCTTGCTAGCCTGGAGGTCAGGTGTTCGATCCCTGCATTGGCCGAGAAAGTTCATCCAGATTTTTTCGGCGTGGTTCCCCCTTGTCAGTGATGCAGGACAGTGGGCCTGACAAGGACAGCTGTCTAATCGTTCGGATGGTACGAAAAACCCGAGGTCACATATCAACATTGGCATGCACGTAAAAGATCCCTTGACAGTTGGAATTTGATATAAAAGTAGGCCATAGTGCCACTGTACAGACAAAATTTACCTCATAGCATATACTGTATGGCGTATGCCCGTCTTCATTAGCCCAGATTGGAGCAGAACAGTAGGATGTTAAACCCCATTTCATTTCATTTCATTTCACGCTATACTCCAGGAAGAAAACTTTTATCAAGACAGTGCCACTAAGGCTGGCAGTGTACTGTAATATTATAACATCTTGGTGACCTGGACTATTGTCATCTAGATTAATTTGACAACAAGTGATAAAGTTAGGAAACTCCTGATGCCTTTGTTTGATTGGCTACTTGAATTTTCTTTTGTTTTATTTTTTCAGGACCAGACGAATTAGATGAACAAAGGGAAGAATATTGTCGTGTTTTTTTCCTTATGCATCAGTGGTTTATGAAATCAGAAGAATTAGCACAGGCATTCATAGATTTGTATCCTTTATCAGAATATAGGTTGTAGTTTTGATGGGAATGTACTTTCGCCTGACCAGGGGGAAAATCTATCATCTCTTGGATTTGTACATATTCATTTTTATGCACCCACATATTCATATGGTCGTCCCTATTAGTCAATATACATTTTATTATGAGAGACGTGTAAACTCAAATTAATGAACAAAACAGAATGGTAGATAAATAGTATCTTGAAATGAAATGAAAAGGGATTGAATATCCTACAGTTTTGCTCCGCCTGGACTAATGAAGACGGGCATACGCCATACAGTGTGCTATGAGGGAAATTTTTCCCAGACAGCGGCACTACGGCCTACTCTTAAATCGAATTCCAACTGCCAAGGGATCTTTTACGGGCAAGTCATTGTGTACACTGGACCTCGGTTTTTCATTCCATCCGAACGACTATGCTTTGTCCCTTGCCAGGCACTCAAGAGGAAACCATGCCGAAATTCCCATGAACTTTCTCCGCCAACACCGGGATTGAATGCACGACCTCCAGGTCAGCGAGCCAGCGGCTCCCGAGGTAGGAAAAGGAAAGTAACACTCAATATAAAATCCTTATTCCCTCAAGGTTATCTTTCCCTGAGCATAACCTCAATCTGGCTCCCGTCTTTATTAGCCCAGTCGGAGCAGAACATTAGGACGGTACACCCCATCAGACCCGTAACTAGGGGGGGGGGCAAAGCCCCCACCTGAAAAAAGTTTGGCCCCGCTGTGAAAAAATTGGCGACCATAAAAACAATAGATATACCATGTCCGTTAATCTTACAGCACCCGTGAGAACACTTCCCGCCACCCTCGTTGCTCTGAGCTAGTTATGACCCAGCACTCCATTTTTATTTCATAAAATTACCCAATAAGTATTGTATAACCAACACATTAGACCCTCAGTCTACAGCTGTCTAGTCCTTCGGATGAAACGGAAAACCGAGGTCCCGTGTATATATTGGAATGCACGTAAAAGATCCCCTGGCAGTTGGAATTCGATATAAAAGTAGGCGATAGTGCCACTGCCCGGGCAAAATTTCCCTCATAGCACACTGTATGGCGTATGCCCATCTTCATTAGCCCAGTATAGGAGCAGAACAGTAGGACGTTAAACCCCATTTCATTTCATTTCATTTATTCTACAAGGGTACTGACAACATAACAAAGGTGTTTTCTATGAGTCTTCAAGAAAGAAACAAATTCTGAAACCTTTTGTTAATTACAGTCATTCTAACAAAACCTTCGAGAACATTTAATAATGAAACATTATTCACTTCTAAATCAGCTTTCAAAACGTTCATCCTGGATTGAAAGAATTGCAAAGCATTTGACAGTTTCAAAATTTGTGAAATTAATGCTTCTGTGAATGGCTCATTTGTCAATCAAAATCATTGACTTGAACTAGGTCATTTCCTTATTTGTATTGAAATCTGATGACCACATATTTTTAACTTAAATGGTACATGCCTGATTAAACATAGCCGTGTTTAGACATTGACCTCCTTATAGTGATAAAAAGGGTTTGGGGAATTGAAGAGTTTCGTTCAGCCATGTGTTTTTAATCAAATGGACATTTTATTACTAGTTTAATGGCAAACTGTATTATTTTAGGGACTATGGCCTCCACCCCCTCATCAATATTCAAGATTCATTGAAGGATATTTTAGGAACTATGGATTCTACCCCCTCATAAACATTCAAGATTTATTGAAGGTTATTTTAGGGTCCTGTTTGATAGGAGCACTTGATCTTTTCAGGGGGTGAGGAAGAGATTCCATAGTCTATTCGATTCAACATCTGGACCAGTAATTAAGTGAGGGTCAATAAACTATAAGTCGAGACCAGGGACAAATTAACTTTGTACCTTTCCATTTCCTAACATTCTTACCGTTATTATTGTCATTTTAACTCGACTTGCTTGGAGTTTGCAGGGGTTGGATGGCCGAATGGTTAGCGTGTGGAGGCTGCATCATAAGGCCTGTCATTGAGTCAACTGGCGTGGTTTTGAATCCCCGGTTTTACATGACAAGGAGTAGGGTCACCTGTCCAACCTCATGGGTTTTCTCTGGGTCCTCCGGTTTCCTCCCATTGCTAAAGACCCCCTACCGTTATTATTGTCATTTTAACTCAACTTGCTTGGAGTTTGCAGGGGTTGGATGGCCGAATGGTTAGCGTGTGGAGGCTGCATCATAAGGCCTGTCATTGAGTCAACTGGCGTGGTTTTGAATCCCCGGTTTTACATGACAAGGAGTAGGGTCACCTGTCCAACCTCGTGGGTTTTCTCTGGGTCCTCCGGTTTCCTCCCATTGCTAAAGACCCCCTACGCGCAAGTGAATTATTGAAATAAAATTAAACCATATGTTAGTCCCAAAATGACCTAGTTTGTGTTGAGTGGACGTTAAACCCCATTTCTCTCTCCTTGAAGTTAATTTTATCACTACTTTAAAGCCAGTAGTTTACTAGCTTGAAGTTAATAATTATAATAACAGTTTATTCACAACTACATGTACAGGCATGAGTATGGAAGTTACAACAAACATTTCACATTGCGAAAGAATAACAATATCTATCTGCATGTCTTACAAAAAAACATTAATTTTCAAGATGGTGTATGGTAGAAAACCTCCCAACATAGTCTTGGTTACCAAGATGTTTAAAATGTACCAGGTTTAGTTGTCTGAGACTACAAATCATAACACTTTTAATTCTTTACTTTCAATGATAACTGATATATATATTCATTGTTTTTTTGGAGGGTTTTGTACATAAATCATTAGGTAATATATTTTAATGTAAGTGGTTAGCTTGCAAGAAATTATTATGATCACCACTTTAAAGTCAGTGATTGAATTTAATATGAGTACCACTTTAAAGTTTGTGATTAAAGTTAATATGATCACCACTTTAAAGTCAGCGATTCAAGTTAATATGATCACCACTTTAAAGTCAGCAATTCAAGTTAATATGATCACCACTTTAAAGTCAGCGATTGAAGTTAATGTGATCACCACTTTAAAGTTTGCAATTAAAGTTAATATGATCACCACTTTAAAATCAGTGATTGAATTTACCACTTTAAAGTCAGTGGTTAGCTTGCATGTAATCAATATGATTACCACTTTAAAGTCAGTAGTTGATTTGCAATATAATCACCTATTTAAAAGAAGTGGTTGATTCCCACTTTAAAGGCAGTGGTTAGGTCGCTGTCTTGCTAGAAGTTAATATGCTCATCAATTTAAAGTCATTGGTTGATCACCACTGTCTAGTGGTTGATTACCACTTTAAAGTCAGTGGGTACTGTAGCTTGCTAGAAGTTAAAGGAGAATACTGTAGTAAAAGTTTAATTTTATCATTTACTTAGTTCATTGTGTTATGCATTTCAGAATTTTTTTTTTAAGAAAAAAACACTTTCGGATTTCTGCAATTACGGAAACACCTGACAATTAATGAGCTGAAGCTAAATCATGTAACATGACGTAAGAGGCAACGTCGTGTAGCGGTCGATATATTATTATGGCATCGGCAGAAAGTAACAGCTTGTCAGACATTGATTTTGCTCGAACGTCTGTCGTCTCTGATGTCAATAACGGAAAAAAAATAAAAACGAAGCTGGTATATTTTTCCATCGTAAAAATATTCAGAGCGACTTTTAAAATCTTGCTGTCCCAAAAATAATCTAATATTAATGTTATTTTTCATATTAAAACAACTTTTTGCAGCAGTGTTCTCCTTTAATATGATGATTAATAGTGGTGTTACCATATGAGGTATAATTAACTCTATTAAATTACAATATGAGATTAAGTACTGACAATTGAAAGATTACACCTCATCACTTCCTTGTAGCAAAATACTTATGCTCTTATTGGCTAAATTTGCTTCTAAAAATACAAATCTCTTTTTTGCTTGTTCATGGCTTGAATTGGTATTAAAGTGGCTTGCAGTTATTTGTTTTTCATGACCATGCATGATTTCGTACCCAAACATTTATCAATACAAATTTAAGTGATAGATAATTTGTAATGGTCATTTGAAGACTACCTACAAATAATATCACCAGTGATCAAGGGTTAATTTTGTTTTGTGTTTCAGCACAATTCTTTTTTTCTTGGTAGGAAATTTGATATAAAGGACAGCGTATTTAGTTGTTGAACTAGATTCTTGACCCCAACTAGAATCGTTTACCTTGCTTTTGCGGGAGAGAGAGAGAAATGGCTTTTAACATCCACTTGACATAACTGGGTCATTTCGGGACTAACATATATGGTTCAATTTTATTTCAATAATTTTCTTGCGTGTAGGGGTCTTTAGCATTAGGAGGAAACCAGAGGAGGACCTGTAGAAAACCTACAAGGTTGGACATGTGACCCTACTCCTTGTCACGTACAACCCGGGAATCGAAACCACGCCAGTTGACTCAACGACAGACCTTATCAAAACTGTGCGCACATTCTAACCATCTAACCATTCGGCCCCCCCCCCCCTGCTTTTGGGTGGGGGGTGGGGTACTAATAATAATGTAGATCCTATATAGTGATAGATAATTTAGAATTTGTGGTGGTCATTTGAAATATGTCACTAGTTAGTTGGTTGTAATTTTGTGTGTACTTTAGTATAATTATCCTTATAGGAAATATAATATATAGGACAAAATATTTTAGTTTGTGAACTATATCCTTGACCCAATTTCTTTCCTGTCCTCTTTTAGAAAGGTTAACTCGTGCGAGTTGCATCTAAAGGTCTGTCATTGAGTCAAGTAGCATGATTTCAATTCCTCGCTTGTACGTGACAAGGAGTAGGTCGCTTTCCAGCGTTATGGATTTTCGCCGGTTTCCTCCCACTGCTAAAAAACCCAACACGCAAACGAACTATTGAAATAAAATTGAACCATATGTTAGTTCCGAACTGACCTAGTTTGTGTCAGTGTACATTAACCCTCTCTCTCTCTCTCTCTCTCTCTCTCTCTAACATAGGGGGGTTGGATGGCCGAATGGTTAGCACGCACGCGCTGTATCATACGGTCTGTCATTGAGTCAACTGGCGGGGTTTCAATTCACCGGTTGTATGTGACAAGGAGTAGGGTGGCCTGTCCAACCTTGTGGGTTTTCTCCGGGTCCTCCAGTTTCCTCCCACTGCTAAAGACCCCTACGCGCAAGCAAATTATTGAAATAAAATTGAAATAAAATACTCTCAAAAATTACAGACCAGTGTCAAATTGTGGTTTCCTAGACAAATTCCTAGAGAAATGTGGTTTTTCACGCTTACACCAGTACTTGTCCAGTGGTGGACTCTATGGCAAATTTCAGTCTGCTTATCGAGAGGGGCACAGCACCGAGACGGCGCTCCTTAGAGTCCTGAACGATGTTGTGCTTGCTCTTGATAAGCAACATGATGTCATATTGGTATTACTGGATCTTTCTGCTGCCTTCGACACCATCGATCACAACATTCTCATGAACAGATTGCGTAAACGTTTTGGCGTCTGTGGTCAGGCTTATGATTGGATCAATTCCTTTCTTCGAGGAAGAACACAAAGAGTGTCAGTTGGATCGGCGGTGTCGGAGGACCATCCCCTAAAATTTGGAGTTCCTCAGGGCTCGGTCCTAGGACCGGTTCTGTTTGCATTATACATGACTCCAGTCGAGGATATTATCAGCCGCCATGGTCTAAATGCCGTAATATACGCTGATGACACCCAGCTCTACATCACTTGTGACTCGCGAACGGACTTGATTTCTGCCGGTCGTATTGAGGCCTGTATAGATGAGATTCGTCTCTGGATGTGTGCAAACTTACTTGCACTCAATGACGATAAGACTGAAATTGTCCGTTTCTCATCGTGCAGGAAAAATGCGAGTCCGCAGGTTGTCGCGGGTGATGTACGAGTTGGTGAGGTTCTTGCTTCGCCATCAGCGATGATGGACTCGGCTGGACTGATGGATGATCAGATCAAGAGTGTGTGTAGCAAGGCTTCTCACTCGCCGTGGCGTATAGGGCAAATCCGGCATTTGTTAGACCAGGTCAGTACTGAGAAATTGGTGCATGGCTTTGTGACATCAAAACTGGATTACTGTAACAGTCTTTTTTATGGTCTCCCGAAATACAAGTTAAAGAAATTACAACATGTTCAGAATTCCACTGCTCGACTGGTAATCCGAAGGAAGTTGGGGCGTCACGCACAGATGACGCCCATTCTTCGGGAACTACACTGGCTCCCAGTTGAGAAGCGGATTCATTTCAAACTGTCGTGTATAATTTTCAAGTTAATACGCCATAGTGAGTTAGCGCCTTGTTACCTCACTAATATCATTAGTATTCAAGTTCCATCTTATCGGACTAGAAGCAGTGATGAGGTGAAGTTGCGACCCTTTTCCCACAAAACACATGGAAAAAAAGCCAGTGAGTTGTATGGCGATCGCGCCTTCAGCTGTGCCGCGCCTTCTCTCTGGAATGAGCTGCCACTAAGACTTAGATCACTCACCAAATTCAGCCTGTTTAAATCCAAGCTCACAACATATTTATTCAATTGGGCAATAATACTACTAGTCAATCTAATGTTTTTATAGGCATACATTTGTATATCTTTAATTGAGATTTTTTTTTTTTTTTTTTAAATACCAATTATTGATAGTTTTTATTTATTTATTATTATGTATATACAATGTGTAGTACGCCCATGTAAAGGCGGTTGAGACAATTTGTGTGTAACGGTCTATAAAAAATATATATTATTATTATTATTATTATTATTATTAACCATATGTTAGTCCCAAAATGACCTAGTTTGTGTCGAGTGGACGTTAAACCCCATTTCTCTCTCTTTCTCTCTAACATGTGCTTTAGATCACTCGGTCAGTCATTCAGTCAAGTTGAGATACCAAAGTAATTCCCTACTTCTGATGGATTTTCTAAAATATTTAAGAACTAGATCCTTGAGTCGATTTCATTCACTTCCTCTTTTGGGTTTCAAATAATGTAAATCCTATCAGCTGTTGTCCACATGTTCTCTTCTCCTGTTTATATTCCATGAACATAGTAGGATATATCTCCTATATCCTATACCAGTTATTCTGTGATTGGATGTCAATATACTACACACAGGGAGTTATATATATATATATCTCCTATGTCCTATACCAGTTATCCTATCATTGGCTGCCAATACTACACTATTCACAGGGCGATATTAAGGATATTGAAATATCCTGGTTTTTAATTGTTTAAGGGCGTTGACTAGTCGAAGATACGCATTAACTCTTCAACACCGATTGTTATTAAAACTTTGCATAATTGTTTCGTTTGTAAAATAACCCAGAGGATATATATAGCAGGTCGACTGTTTGTTGTGTAATAATGGAGATACAAGCAGAAAGGAAAAAAAAAATATTTATGGGAAACAAGAAGGTTTCCTGACCAAGATTAGTTCTTGAATAAATTGACGTGATCTCCAGTAAACAATCATGGCTGCATCCAGCAACAGTTTCACACTGAACCATTGACATCTACCTATATATGACGTCAGAAGGAATTCCCACTAAGACGCTATTATCCAGGTCTACCCCATCTATCGCGACTGGAACATGGCTATTCTTTATTTTTTGATGATCAAAGATTACCATTTTTTAAATGTATAAAATGATTTTTAGAGTAGCAGAGTAGTGCACTGAAGTAAATATTTACTTTTTACGACCGAATTGTTGTATTTTAAAACTTTTTGTGGACGTATTCAAAGAATTTACCGAAAATCACACAATCTTGTTTAAAGGTAAATAATGAACAAAGATTTTAAAATACTTTGAGATGATATTTTTTAACGTTTTTGGTGTTGAAATGTTTCTTATAACCTCTACTTTTGATGTTTGGGAGAAATTATCGATATCTCTTTTTAGCATGAACTCATAGAATTTCCAAGAAAACTCATAATTTTTTGGCATTTCCATGGATACCAGATAAACCATGGTCTATAGCCAAAAAGTATCCCTTGTGTTTCATGCCAAATTTTATATAAATCCATACAGGCATAACTGAGAAAATTGAACTTTTGTTGTCATCAGCACCCATTATTATCATGCTTTTGGGCCAAGTTTGGTAAATAAAATTGTTTTTTTTAGGGTGATTAATGTGTAGTTCATCACCCCAAATAACAAAAAAATATCATATCTTGTGAACAAAAATTACAGTTCTAGCTTTAAAATGTGCATTTTAGACTGCTCAACGCCCTTTAGCAGTATTTAATAACGCCAAGAAAAAGCTACCTGTGTTTAGTTCAAATATCCCCTATCTATTTTGAGTGGACTTACAACTAATATTTTCCTTCTTATTAACACTGTTATAATAGAATTATAAAAATCTGTTTCCTCGTCAGAATTATGTCATGATACTATTATTTCTTTCCTTAACGTGCACCCAGCTACCAAGGTTGCGATGAAACTATAACGTGTGATCTTCCAGACTGTCAACATTTACCTATTAGCGATGACTGTCCTGTACAACAATATAAAGTTAAAATCTGTCGGGCTGTTAGGTAAGTCAACTATATTTATAGACAAGTTCCAATCTTTTCTCATAGATCTGTACTGTTTGACAAGTTTCGATCTATTCTCATGATAATTGAGTAAAGATTATTGTTGCCTGCTTTTCAAACTATTAAAATGAGTCCATCCGTCAACCTGTATGCCCATCACACGTTTTGGGAACACAATAGTAAGGCCATCATGATCAGGTCTTCAAAATAATGTCAAAAATAGCTTGTAAATGCAAATATTTTTCATTCAATTTTAACAAAATGTCCTATGTGGTCCAATATACATTAGATCTCAGAGCTATTTTAACTAGGTTAGAAAGGTGCATTTGATTGCCCTTGACTCCGGGGAAAATCCATCAATAGGAGCTACCAACTGTTAAGGGTCCTTTTACCTGCACGCCAATGTTTTTTCATCTCATCCGAATGACTATGCCATCTGTGGAGATGGCTTGTTTGTTGTTCTAAATTTCGCTATATCATGATAAATGAACTGCTCTCACTTTAAGAGAGGGAGAGAAATGGGGTTTAACGTCCACTCAACACAAACTATGTCATTTCGGGACTAACATTTGGTTTAATTTTATTTCAATAATTGGCTTGCGCGTAGGGGCCTTTAGTGCTGGGAGGAAACCAGAGGAACCGGAGAAAACCCACGAGGTTGGACAGGCGACCCTACTTCTTGTCACGTACAACCAGGGATTCGAAACCACGCCAGTTGACTCAATGACAGACCTTATGATACAGCGCGCATGCTAACCATTCGGCCATCCAACCCCTCGTTCTCACTTTAACAAGATATAAACACTTTCTATTTACGGTTTTACGGTTCATTTCATTGTCGATTTCTTGAATCTTTAGAAAACATGAGACAGGGTTCAGTTTTAAATACTTCCCTAAATATTATATGTTTTGTGTTTAAATGAAATGAAATGAAATGGGGTTTAATGTCCTACTGTTCTGCTCCGACAGGGCTAATAAGACAGGTTTACACCATACAGTGTGCTATGAGGGAAATTTTGCTCGAACAGCAGCGCTACAGCCTACTGCCAAGGAATCTTTTACGTGCACACCATTGTGTACACAGGACCTGTTTTGTGTTTAAGGCCTAGGTTAAAATTGTGTAGGCTAACCTGGGGGACCTGTATTCAATCTCGGTGTTCATTGGGACTTTCTGACAATAGTCCATCGGATGGGATGAAAAGTTGAGGGATAGTGTACACATTGCTGTGCATGTAAACGATCCCTTGACAGTTGGAATTTGATGTAAGAGTAGGCTGTAGTGCTGCTGCCTTGACAAAATTCCCCTCAGTGCACACTGTATGGTGTATGCTCTTCTTCATTAGCCCAGTCAGAGCAGAAAAGTAGGACAGGACGTTAACACCCATTTCATTTACAATTGTATAGAATTATTTTCCTAGTCAATCTGAAATTAATTAATTCTAATTTATGAACAAGGAAGGAACAAACGTACCAGCAACAATCACGATCAGTACTTTCTAATCTCAAATAACGAAATGAAAACGGTAGGAGATTTGACAGAATCTAATTAAAGTTTTAATAGATAAAGTAATTCTCCGAAAACCATAATGCTGTGATATGAGTGGTCAAAATTTACAACTTTGTGTCGTGACTGGCAAACCTTGCTCTTACACTTCTTTCTGTGTTTTGTTGTGCAGTGGTCGGCATTGCCTGTTAAGAGCAAATGGAAGGGCTTTGTTTTACAATTTGGTGAAACGGTTATGTGAATAATTCAGGTGTTCTAATTATATTTTGTCTACAACACTACTTCGAGAAATATTAATAGACAAAATGTATGTTTTTATTTCTGGTATGTAAATTATTTGCTTAGCTATAAATTCATGGTTTCCATCTCGGCCATATATGCTGGTCAATTTTTTATCACAAATTGCGACTTTGGCAGAGTTAAAAATTGACCGAAATGTCTCGGAAACCCAACGATCAATTTATGCGCTGTAAAACTATCATATTTTTCAAAACCCCATTTTCCACTGCAATCGACTACTGATATATAAAAATGAATTCATATGTTTGGACTGGACTGGAATACTGGACTGGACTGGTTGTTTAACATCTGCTTCCACAATAGTGGTATCGCAGATAAGATCTACAAGACGTAGAAACGTGCTCCTTTAATTTAGATTGTAATTTTGAAATCTTTTCATTTGTGGTCTTTCTTTTACAAGGATTGGTTTAGTGGGAATTTCTTCCCTGTCATTTTTTTCTGAATAATTTTATATTATTGTCGCCGCCATTTGACGATATTGATTGTCCCATGTTGGTAGTATCATTAAAAGATGCTATAATATTTCAAAATTAGATAATGGATTTTGAATATATTGAAAGTTTCATTCAAATAACTTTATTCTGAGCAAAGTTATCACTGTTTGAAGTTTTGATAAGATGTGGCATGGATTGTTTATTATCGTAACAATGGTACTTGTTATTCTAGACTACTCCTTGATTCACCATTTTTGAATTAAATCATTACATGTTGATCGTGTTTCAATCCATTTAACTTGACAAGGAGTAGGGACGCCTGTCCAACTTTGTGGGTTTTCTCATGGTCCTCCGGGTTCCTCCCACTGCTAAAGACCCCTACGAGCAAATGAATAATGGAAATAAAATTAAATCGTATGTTAGTCCCGAAATGACCTAGTTTGTGTCGAGTGGACGTTAAACTGTCTCTCTCTCTCTCTCTCTCAATCCATTTAAATCTCGGCCATCCGATAGTCTAGAGAGTTGATTACAGGTTTCTTGTGTGAATACATGTTTAATTAAGCATTTATATAACATTTGAAGCCAAAATAAAGACCTGCAATCGTCGGATTTAGCTCTCAGATTATGCAGCTTTAGTTATTTGTTTTATTTTCAGATATTGGATACAGCGGAATCCGGTTCATTTTGCTATGGATAGTCCGTTACGTAAAGCTACAGATCGTCTAGGTCAGTTATTACTAGCAGAAGGAAATACCAAATTAAAACAACTCGTCGATCTTTCACAAGTGTAAGTTTTATATTATATTATTTATCATTAATTCAGAGGAATTGAACTGAGGTTTAACGTTCTACTGATCTGTACAGAATGAGCTAAAGAAAACAAGCATATGCCATGTAGTGTTCTGTGAGTGAAATTTTGTCTGAACAGCGGCTCTAAGGCCTACTTTTTTATCGGATTTGCAACTGTCAAGGGTTCTTTTACATGCACACTAACATGTACGTGGAATTTTAGTGTTTCGTTCTCCCCACTCGTCTTCGTTAGCCCAGTCAGAGCAGGACAGTAGGACGTTAAACCTCATTTCATTTCGTTCCCCTGTCCTGCACCACTTAGGAACTTTGAGCACTAAAATCATAGCACAAATTGAGCTCTAGACTTAAAATATTTTAATTTTCGTGCATGAATATGGCACCAGCGCTCTAAACATGGTAGGAAAAACTTGAGGCCCACGACCCTCACACAATGGACAGTTGGTACTGTTAATCAATCCTATTTAAACTGCAGGTTATTTTAATAAACCATTAATCATTTGATACCCACCCCCCTTTAACATCTAAAGACATGTTTTAGAAAAGCACATTCTGGGCCTTGACCATCGACCTTGATTAAACAGCCAATCTAATGTTTGGATAATCAAAGCCTTTGAAAAGAATTTAGAGGAATTTTTTGTATCACGGGTATTAATATGTAAGCTGATCTGGAATTGACTAATCACAATCTCCGCATTACTGAACGCAATTGGGGGGTTGGATGGTCACGTACAACCAGGATTCGAAACCACACCTGTCGACTCAATGACAGGCTTTATGATACAGCGCGCGCACACTAACCATTCAGCCATCCAACCCCCCACCCTATATCTAACCTCGGATGTATGTAGCTACACCCATACAATTGTGATGCGGCTAACGATGTACTTGCTGCTTTTAGAAAGTAGTCAAAGAGTGTGTAGTGCTGTCCTTTGTTTAAACTTTAAAGAAAAACAGCTTCGGACATTGAAAGCTTTGTATGATGGTCAAGATAAAACACTCTTCACAGGCGTCTTCATGGACGCCGTCATTTTTAATCCGGGAACTTGAGAGTAGTTCCAATGACATAATTCTTCATACAGCCAAGTTTAGCTGTAGGGTACCGAAGTCTGATGAGGTTTGCCGAATGAAAAAGTGAGCTGCCATTTTAAGGAAATAATCGAGTTTTCCATTTTTTCAGCCCATCATACGATTGGATGAGAAATATGTCTGTACGAAATCCATCCAACCACAACCGTAAAGTTTCTCTAGTCTTCAACCATCTTGAACCAGAAGAATTGGCAGATCAGTTGACCTATTTAGAATATAAAGCCTTCCGGAGAATTCATGTAAGTAGGCCTTTATTACCAAAGGAAACTTCTCAATCCTTTAAATGACATCTTGAGTGGAAATTTGTGAATCATTTAATCTCTTTACCCTTGTCCCGTGTTACCCGGATTATTCCGGTAGCGGCACAAACCGTTTTGGGTGGATTATACAAGGATGAAAACAGTGAACTTAACTAAAATTTAATGACAACTTTTGACTCAGATTTCAGTGACAGTGATGAAAATGGCTATGTCATTCTTGTTGTTTTGTTTACATTTTATATCAGTTTTATTAGAGACACCCAACGTCATGAATGTATTCCCAAAAACAATTCAGTTGACGATGTCATACATGACGTCAACAATTCAGCAGCTTTAGGGTTAAAATGTTTATAATCTCTTAATATTTATACCCCCTTGTCAGTGATGCTTGACGGAGAGGCTGACGAGGAGAGCTGTCTAGTCAGTTGGTACAAAAAACTGAGGTCCCGTGTACACATTGGCGTGCATGTTAAAGATCCCTTGACAGTTGGAATTCGATATAAGTAGGCCGTAGTGCCGCTGTCCAGGCAAAATTTCCCTCATAGCACACTGTATGGCGTATGGCCGTCTTCATTAGCCCAGTTCGGAGCAGAACAGAAGGACGTTAAACCCCATTTCATTTCATTTCTTAATATTTATAATTCATTGTCTACTTTCAGTTTTCTGATTATAAAAACTATGCAGTTACAGCTTCCTTAAAAGAAAATCCTAAATTAGAGAGATCAATTGGTTTATTTAATGGTTTATCACAATGGGTACAATGTATGATCCTCAGCAAAACGACTCCACAACAAAGAGCTGATGTTATAACTAAATTCTCTAATGTTTCTAAGGTAGGTATCAACACATTTATCTATGGAAGGGAATCGAAGGATTCAGATAAACACCACAAGGTTATACAGGCAACCCTACTCCTGATCACCTCGCCACTTGACTCAGTGACAGACCTTATGATCCATATTAAGCTATCGAAGGAAATCGGAGGACCCAGAGAAACACCACAAGGTTATACAGGCAACCCTACTCCTGATCACCTCGCCACTTGACTCAGTGACAGACCTTATGATCCATATTAAGCTATCGAAGGAAATCGGAGGACCCAGAGAAACACCACAAGGTTAGACAGGCAACCTGATCACCACTCAACTTGACTCAGTCACAGAGCTTATGGTCTAAAGCACATGTTAGACCACTCGCCACATCAACCCTCCACGAGACTGATACTACTAAAAATAGAAAATAAGGAGAGAGAGGGAGAGAAATAGGGTGTAACGTTTGCATGGTTAGCATGTGCGCGTTGAATCAGAAGGTTTATCATTTAGTCAAGTGGCGTGGTTTCTATTCCCCGGTTGTATGTGACAAGCAGTAGGTTTGCCTGACCAACCTCATGGGGTTTCTCTGGGTCCTCCGGTTTTCTCCCACTGCTAAAGTCCCCTACGCGCAGGCGAATTGTTGAAATAAAATTGATCCATGCGCTTGTCCCGAAAGGACCTAGTTTCTGTGAGTGGATATAAAAATCTCTCTCTCTCTATATATCTCTCGCTAACTCTCTCCCCCTCTTGTAGATTTTGTCATTTGGGTGTCTAGGGGTCTAACAGGTCTCTCTCTCTTTTTCGAGTTCTGCCCACGACTAGACTGCTGTCTTTGTCAGGCTCTCCATCCTGCATCACTGTATCTGGGTGCCCTTGTATAACCTTGTTTCATGATTGAATACTAAAGCATGCTAATATTTCTATAAATTTGAGGTCTGCTGGTCATGTGATTTGTAAACCATGTTCTTTTGTCTTTTTCAGCGTTTAAGAGTGTTACAAAACTTCAATACATTAATGGCTATAGTAGGGGGACTAACTCACAGTGCATTGGCTCGACTCTCTAAAACTAATGCATGTTTACCTTCAGAAACACAAAAGGTGAGTTAAACAGAAATGTTAATATTCTTAGTCATCCATTATGCAAGAGCTAAATCTGCCTATAACAGGTCTTTCTTTAGGCCTGAAATGTTTTCTAAATTATTAATTAGACATTAATTAACCTATTCAGACCATAATCAACTCTAGATGTTATAGCTAGCCTGCGATATTTAGCGAATTGGAATTCATTTTGTGAAGGATAATTAAACGTTTAATAAATGGATAATCGAGACTTGGTTTTTTATCATATCGATTTTAGTAATGATGATCGAGGCTGATTTTTTTTACGTTATCTATTTTTTAACTGTTTATCTAATCTCCCATAATGCCCCCTTAATATACTTAGTCATCCATTTGTTCTATAAGCAGCCATTATACAATATGTTATTAAAACATTATTTCTATTTACGGTGGATTATGATTTATGAAAATTCAAAATCTGCTTTTAATTAAATGATTAAAGAAGGCATATCCCATTCCTAATCCTAAAAAATAAGATTTATCATTAAATGTCCATTCAAAATACATTCAACTAATCACAAATAAGTAAAGATTCTTGCAGTACTTGAAAAATTCACACAAAATTCACTTTTTTTAAAAGTATTTACATTTTTAAAAATATTTACATTTTTAAAAATATTTACATTTTTAAAAATATTTACATTTTTAAAAATATTTACATTTTTAAAAATATTTTACATTTTTAAAAATATTTACATTTTTAAAAATACTCACACTTTTAAAAAATATTCACATTTTAAAAAAAGATTCACATTTTGTAAAAAGAAGATTCACATTGTTCAAATTATTCACATTGTTCAAAATATTCACATTGTTCAAAATATTCACATTGTTCAAAATATTCACATTGTTCAAAATATTCACATTGTTTAAAAATAAAATATTCACATTTTTGAAATATTCACATCCTAAATAAAATTCACCTCTTGAAAAAAATCGACTGGATGTTAGAATTATGTCTGTTGATTACTATTATTTTAATTGAAAATTCTTTATTTATAACTCTTTATCTATTTTGTATCATGTTGTTTTTTATTCAGACATTAATGGAATTTACAGAACTTCTATCATCAAATAATAATTTTAGTAATTATCGTAAAGTTTATCATCAGTGTGTTGACTTTAAGATTCCAATCTTGTAAGTATAACTATTTATAATATAAGTATGTAAAGATCACTCCCTGCACCATATTTTAGTTCCAATCTTGTAAGTATAACTATTTATAATGTAAATATGTAAAGACCATTCAATATGTTAGTTTGGACTAGTGAAGGAATGTCATACTCATTTCGATTCAGGGGTCACATGAACTAATATTTTACATCAAGTGGGCCGGAGAGATACAAAAATATCAACATAAAGAAACTGTATTTGATTTATTTGACTAAAATCGTTACATATTATAATGCAATACAATACTTTGAAGTGGACCAAATTAGTCATTTTTTTAAAAAATTTACACTGAATTATTTTCGAAACAACCACAAAAACATTGTTAACATTCAAAAATTTATGAATATGCCAAGTTTTAATGATTTCTAAGAATTATCAACGTGTCAGTTTGTTGAAATTTGTTCCACGGGCCACATTTAAACCCTTGGCGGGCCACATGTTTGATGCCCATGGACTAGTGGATGTTAAACCTTAATATCTCTATTTGTTAAAGGTTTTCGTACTGTCTTTTTGCGTTGAATATGTGTATAAAAATACTTGTTTTTGATTTTTTTCAGAGGTGTCCATTTAAAAGATTTAATATCCTTACATACAGCACTTCCTGATCGCGTGGAGGGTAATTTGATCAATTTCCGTAAAATGGCCCAGTTATCGTTAATGTTACAAGAATTAACAAGATTACAACGTGTAGATAATATTCCTGTTGATGCAAATATGGATCTGGTTAATACTTTACGGGTAAGTTTACAATTTTTTGGGGGGGACTCAGGGTCCAGTTGTATAATGAGAGTGCTTTAGATCATAAGGTCTGTCATTGAGTTGTGGGGTTGGGTGTCCGAATGGTTAACGCATGTACGTTGTATCATGAGGTCTGTCATTGTGTCAAGTGGTGTGGTTTCGATTCCCAGCTTTTACTTGACAAGGAATGCGTGCACGTTCTTTCATAAGGTCTGTCATTGAGTCAACTGGCATGATTACGATTCCCCCCTTATATGTGACAAGGAGTAGGGTCGTCTGTCCAACCTCGTGGGTTTACTCCGAGTTCTCCAGTTTCCTCCCACTGCTAAGACACCTAAGCACAAGTAAATTAATGAAATAAAATTGAACCACTGAAAATTGAAAATGACCTACTTTGTGTGTGTCGAGTGGACGTTAAACTCCTTTTCTCTCTCTGTTATTGAATCAAGTGGCGTTGTTTAGATTCCCAAGCTTGTAAGTGACAGGGAGTAGGGTCGCCTGTCTAACCTCTTGGGTTTTCTCTGTGTCCTTGGATATCCTCCCACTGCTAAAGACAATCTACAGGCAAGAAAATTATTGAAATAAATTTGTACCATATGTTAGCCCCGAAATGACGTCAAGTGTGTGTTAAACCCCTTTTCTCTCTTTCTGTATAACTTTTACACTACTAGTTGTGGTGCAGTCTCCCTGCCCTTACTAATAGATTGTCTATCTCTGTACCTTCCAAAACATATATTTGTATTTTTTTGATATGTCTTGTATTTTTTGATTTTAGTTATCACTGGATCTTAATTATACTGAAGATGAAATTTATGAATTATCTTTGGCTAGAGAACCTCGAGGTTCAGTTTCCTCAGTAAGTACTTTTATCTTATATTTTCAGAGTCGGGGGCCTTATTCTTGACAACTTTGATTGAATTTTTTAAGGATGCAGCTTTTTCATTGGTTGCACGTTAAAATCCTACTACGGCCAATGAATGTTTGCATTCTTAAAATGTTTTAGTTTAATATAAAAGGGGTTGGATGGTCGAAATAGTCTAGCGTGTACACTTTAGATGATAAGGTCTGTCATTGTGTCATATGACATGATTTCAATCCTAAGCTTGCATGTGACAGGGACTAGGGTCGCCTGCCCAACTTCGTGAGTTTTCTGTGGATACTATATGGTTTTCCATCACTACTAAGGACCTATGTGTAAGTAAATCATTGAAATAAAATTGTACCATTTGTTAGTCCCGAAGTTACCTAGTTGCGTTGAGTGGATGCTATGGGTTTTCATCAGTAGTAAAGGCCTACGTGTAAGTAAATTATTGAAATACAATTGTACCATTTGTTAGTCCCAAAATGACCTAGGTGCATTGAGTGAATGTTAAACCCCATTTCTCTCTCTCCATTGACATGAAATCGTGGCATGATGGTAATATTTTACTGTACAGCTCTATTAATCTTAGTTGCAAAGATAGATGACATTTTTCCACACAGCAATGTTATGATTGACTAAAATTTCATAAGTTTTTACTATTGTTACTATTATGATGATTTGAAATTTAATTAAAATGATGATTTATTTGTAGCCGACGACACCCACTAAGCCTGTGATGTTTGCTGATTGGATATCTGGAGTGAGTCCACCAGATCCCAATACAATAAATAAACATGTCCATGACATGGTGGAGGTAGGAACTTACTTTTTTGTTTTATTTTCTTGTTTGATGAATAATTTAATAGCTAAAAATGTAGGCAAAACGATCATGAACCAACACTTTCCTATGAAGAATTGTAGGTGAGCTGTCATTTGCCTAGTAATTTTAGTAATAATATCATGCTAGAGATAATATTAATTAATAATTTTAGCGATAATGTAATGCTAGTGATAATGGTTAGTAGTAATTTTAGCGATAATGTAATGCTAGTGATAATGGTTAGTAGTAATTTTAGCGATAATAGAAGACTTTTGATAACAGTGTTTAGTAATTTTATCATTAATATGATACTAGCAATAATATAATTATAATGCTACAAAAATTTTGTTAGTAATTTTAGCGATAATATAATGCTAGAGAAAATATTAGCGATAATATAATGCTAGAGAAAATATTAGCGATAATATAATGCGAACTTTAATGTTTATTAGTAATTATTGAATGATATATTGATAGTATTAAGTGATATATTGATATATATATTTCAGGCTGTATTTAAGAATTATGATCACGATAAAGATCGATTTATTTCACATGCTGAATTTGAGGCTATAGCCGGAAACTTTCCATTTATAGATTCCTTTTATGTTCTTGATGCCGATAAGTAAGTTTATTTTTTGAATTATATGATATTTCTCGTTTAAACTTGAGAATCAATTCTCATATATTAATCTTCACATAGTTCTGTTATATAGGGGCTGGGCATTATGGGCACTGGACTCTCGACTAGAATTCCTGATTTTGAGTCCTGGCATTGGAGGATAAGAACCTTCAGGATTTTTCAAGTCTGGCCTTCACTAGTCAAGGATGGTGACTATGGAGCTAAAAAGAAAAAACTATAGTCCATCGGTGTACGCATGGGCAGGCACTTGAAGGAACCCTTAACTGTTGGACTGTAAGGAAGAGTAGGCACGAAATTACCTAGTTTGTGTCGAGTATTCTGGGGGATTGAGTGACAAGGAGTAGGGTCTCCTGCCAAACCTGATGGGTTTTCGCTGGCTCTTCTGGTTTTGTTTCACTGCTAAAGACCTCTAGAAGACACCATGGTGGGTTTTCACCAGGTTTCCCACTGCTAAAGACCTCTAGAAGACAGCATGTTAATGTATGTATATATAATAAGTCAAATTTAAAGATACATTATATAAGAGCTAAATCTCTCTTTGGCAGGTCTTTATTATGGCTTAAAATGTTATATAAACTATTATTTAGACATTTCTTCGAATGACAAGTCTATAATCAACCCTCTAGGCCATCGGATAGCCGAGATTCAACTGGATTAAAACACCAGCGAAATTTAAAATTTAAATGATTTAGAACACCTGCAAGATTTAAAATTTAACGATAAAATGGATACTCGAGACTTAGACTCGAATGTCAAGTACTATTGTTACGATAATGAACACTAGATCTTGTCAAACACTCATAATTTCTCTCAGAATAAAGTAATTTGAATGAAACTTTCAATATATTCTATGTTTGAACTATTATAACAAGAACAGCCAGCTCTTTATCTAAATCTTATATAACACATCTTTAAACAAATTGATTATTTTTTTCAGGGACGGTATGATAAGTAAAGATGAAATGAAAACATATTTTATCCGAGCCAACTGTCACGCGTTACGCAATAGTTTTAAACATGCTTTCCACGAAACCACATACTTTAAACCGACTTTCTGTATACACTGTACAGGACTTGTAAGTATTTATTTACGTTAAGATTCTTTAACTCTTTGAATCTAGTTACATGACATATCGGTGTAGAGGCCAATCTTCTTTGTTCTCGCTTGGTGGGTTGGGTGGCCGAATGGTTTCCTCCCACTCACAAGCGAATTATTGAAATAAAATTAAACTATATGTTAGTCTTGAAATGACCTGGTGTGCGTCCTTAGACAACTGAATATAATGACAAAAATAATTATTTTATTATTTTTTACAGTTGTGGGGTATAATAAAACAAGGTTGGAAATGTAAAGGTAAGATATTTATTACTGCTCATTTTAATTTATATTTTATTTGGCATTTAAATGAGCTCAACCTGATTAAAACACAGATCCTATTTCGTTTCGTTTTTTTATAGTTCAAAATATCGTTTTATTACACTAGGATCTGGAAGAGTTGTTATATAACCTGCGTTCTGGATGCTGTGAGCTTTCGGCGGGTGGTGCACGGAACTGTGGGTAATCCACTAGAAACATCAATGCTGATTGGTTGATCAAATGTCTGATGTCATGGGGTCAAAAGCCGCTTGTATGACCTCTGACGTGACCTATCACTACAACCGATCAGATCTTCATTTAGTGTAAGCCATCGAAGTATAAAAAAAACAAAACGAAATATACATCTGTATTTTAATCAGATTTTAATGAACTAGAAACTATAGTATTAAACTTGGTTGATCTGGTGGTGTTATTCAGAGACAAATTAAAAGGCGGTGGGGTAGTTTTGAAAAACTGACATTAATTGGTGCTTTTTAGAGTATATCCCGTGGCAATCTTACCAATTCATCAAAAACGACTTAAAGATGGGTTCCCAGAAAAGTATTTATCGTGTGGTTATTTCCAATAAAAGTATGGTAATTTTGGTATATATGGAAATTAGAGATATCCAATCTTACTAGAAAAATACTGGATTCCCCGAAAAATCACGTGATGTAAATATGACCTGGTTTGATAGAATTTTTATAGCAGGGCATTCCTTCGCAATTACAATGTTTGAGAAGGATTTGAAGCAAAATTATGACAAATTAATTAGTTTGAATATGTTTTTAGTCCATATATACCATTAAATCACCCAGTTTGTACGCGGGAATGTATCTTTAAATTCAAGACCAAAAATGACCCCAAAACTACATAAAGACATTTTCATCTTTAGGGACCCCCCCCCCATCCATTGTCTCTGGATCCAACCTTGATGAAAACCAATGAGGTCTAGTCGTTTTTAAGTTTCAGTGATAATTTAATTTATTTCAGAATGTAGTATTAACGCTCACAAACACTGTAAAGATTTGGTTGTTATGGAATGTCGGAAAGGAATGGCTGCCAAACGAACAGATTCAATGTCAAACGGTAAACAATTTTTTATAAGACCATATTTTCTGGTCAGTAGGGGAGTTGATTGGCCAAATGGTTTGCACTTTAGATCATAAGGTCTGTCATGGAGTCACATGGCATAGTTTCGATTCCATGTGACAAGGAGTAGGGTTGCCTGTCAAACCATGTGGGTTTTTTCTGGGTCCTCCAGTTTCCTCCAATTGCTGAAGACCCCAACATGCAAGCGCGCAATTGAAATAAAATTGAATCATAGTTTGTGTTGAATGGACATTAAACGCCTTTTTCTAATAATCTGCATTGACTTGAATATTGATGCCATCGTCTGTCAAATAGCACTCGCAAATTGTGTGCTTTAGATCACAAGGTCTGGCATTGAGTCTGGTGGTGTTGTTTTGATTCCATACTTGTATGTGACAAGGGAGTAGACTTGCCTGTCCAACCTTGAATTGAATCATATGTTAGTCCCAAAATTACATAGTTTATGTCGAACGCCTTCTTCTAATACTCCGAAATTGACTAGAATATTAACGCCAACGTCTGACAAATAGCACTCGCAATTTGTTTCAATGACATGTAGTAAATGAACTTGAAATACACAGGACACAGTTCTATGGAATACAATTATTGTTTATTCTGAGTGACGTTTGAACTAATAGGCTTCTCTATTCTCTACGGAGCCACGGTGGCTAAGTGGGTAAGACACTGGCTCACTATTCTGGAGGTCACATGTCCAATCCCTGCATTGGCCCAGAAAGTTCATTAGGATTTTCCGGTGTGGTTTCCCCCTTGTCAGTGGTGCAGAACGGAGGGCCTCACAAGGACAGCTGTCTAGTCGTTTGGATGGGACGAAAAACCGAGGACCCGTGTATACATTGGCGTTGCATGTAAAAGATCCCTTGGCAGTTGTAATTCAATATAAGAGTAGACCATAGTGCCACTACCCGGATAAAATTTACTTCACAGAACACTGTATAGCGTATGTCCGTCTTCATTAGCCGAATCGGAGCAGAAGAGTACGACGTTAAACCCAATTTCATTTCTATTCTCTGGTGTTTATCAAGGAATGATAAAATATATTTTTAAAATTAACGATTTTTCCAGGTTCTGTGTCGAATGATTTAACTTATTCAGCCAAACGCAAAATATCACAAAGACATAAACAGGCACAATTATTGGCACAGAGCAGTGAAAACAAGGCGGGCAGTAACACCAGTATACAGAATAACCAGAATAACCAAAAGGACCAGGTTTTCCAAGATGACGGCCCGAGGGAGGGAGAATTCTACGAGGAACAGCATCTATTATATGACAGGTGGCTCAAATCCGAAGAGGTAAATATCTGAACATTTTTAATTTTGTATTCTTTTTTTCGTAGAGAAAATGACTTTTGCTGAAGATTAAGGTCTATTTGCTCTTGTAGTAAATAGTTTATTTATAGAAATGAAATGTCGCGGAGGATAGTCATCGCTTACGGCATAGTTATATAGATCCATGCTTTACGAAGGATACATTATATTATTTATTGTTATGTTAATACAATGTTGGTGATGGGTTATTTTCTGAATTAACTACCGTCCTCTCCTTTGTCCTTGGGGCTTTTAGGTTCTTAGAACACTTATTAATTAGTTTTTATGGTGGACCCAGAACCAAAAATTTCAAATCCTCAGTTCAGTCCAGTCTCATCTCACAGCCCCTAAAATATCAAAATTAATAATATTCTGACCTTAATAACCTAGGCTTCCATATAACTGTTAACCAAGAATGTAACGTAACTACAGACTAAACAATTTTGAAAAATCCCTGTTTTATTCCTATTTCGCGAACTTATCTAAAATGCATATTAAACATACATTATGCAAGAGCTAAATCTGTCTATTGCAGGTCTTTTTTTAGGCCTGAAATGTTATATAAACTATTAATTAGACATTAATTAACTTATCCAGACCGTAATCAAATCACGATGTCATCGCTAGCCTGCAATGTTTATTGGTTTAGATTCCGAATTGCTGTTCGATTTCCATTCAATCGTTAAAATCATGGTTCAAAGTAGATAATTTTACTGAAATTTTCAGCAAATTCCCTTTACATTATTTAGTTTTTAACTATTATAATGAGAACTGCCAACTCTTTATCTAATCTCCCATAATCTTTAAGTCTCTATAATAGAGACTTGGAAACAAACAGAGCATTGAAGGACTTTTTACCTAATTTATAAAATAATCTGGGAAATGATTAATAATCCATTTTAACTGGAACACAGAAGTCGCCATTTTGAACAATCATTTGACGGGTTAGTCAAGGACGTAATAATGTTACACCTTATATGCCATTTTTATTATACAAAGATGCCTTCACACTTTAAGGGGTGTTGGATGGCCGAATGGTTAGCACATGCGCGCTGTATCCTAAGGTCTGTCATTGAGTCAACTGGCCGGGTTCCATTTCCCAGATTGTACGTAACAAGGAGTAGGGTCGCCTGTCCAACCTCGTGGGTTTTTTCTCCAGGTGCTCCGGCTTCCTGCCACTGCTAAAGACCCCTATGTACACGCGAATTATTGAACTAAAATTGAACCATGTGTTAGTCCCGAAATGACCTAGTTTGTGTCAAGTGGACGTTAAACCCCATTTCTCTCTCTCTCCCCTTCACACTTTGACGAAAAACTGGGGACTGTGTACACATTGGCATGCACGTAAAAAAAAACCTTGACAGTTGGAATTTGAAATAAATGTAGGCTATAGTGCTGCTGTCAGGGCAAAATTCTCTTCATCGCAACTGTATAGCATATGTCTGTCTTCATTAGCCCAGTCGGTTCAGGAACGTAGGACGTTAAACCACATTTCATTTCATTTGGACCTCTCCAAATCGTGGAAATTACTAGGCCTACTACCTCTAGCATAAAAATAGTCATAAGCAAAATGTTTAGCTGTATATAATTAACAAAAGTTGTCTAGTCATTGGTTGCCTCATATCCTGTGGAAATATATTGTTTAACTTAATATTTGGTGTCTGTGTTCAGGCAATATGTAATAACCAGCCTCAATTTGAATGTAGGAAATATTTATGTTGTGAGAACTCCTGTCATTTTCATAATACAAAGATGCCTGTCCAAAAGCGTTGAAACTACTACTTCCTCTAGCATCGGAAACTATTTGAGTCATGTGATTAACTGTGTACTATGCTAGTTCTTTAAATCGGGCGACTTGATTTTATCCGGATAGTAGTAGTAGTTCAGAGCACCTTCAAAAATGTGCTACAAAACCAAAAAGTAAGAAAACTTCACTTTCCCCCCCCCCTCCCCCAAAAATTCAGGGAACCAGGATAGTCGATATTTATATGTACCAAGGGTTAGATCTAAATATTAAGGCCAACTGCAGATTTTGTCAGGGTCGCAAGATGTAAATAGGGTTAGGGCACATGATTGTTGACAAGATTGTGGGTTATGGTTAGTACTAGTCCTGATTACATCTTGTGACTTTTGACAAAATATGCAGTTGACCTTAATATTTAGACCTAACCATGTACCATGTGCTATTGGTTTAAATATTAATAAAATCATGTTTAAAAATGGTAGAAGCTGAGGTTTAAAATGATTAAAATAAAATTTTCTCTATACATGGGCTTTAAGGCGATTGAATGCAAGCTTTAAAGTGATCATTCTTTTTAAAAATGCTTTGCCTATGTTAGATATATATGGCTGAAATGTTTCTGAAATTCAAATTTGGTGTCGTCCTAGGTATCCCAGTTGTATCATTCCGTTCTACTCCAATAACCTCTGAGTCCATTCACGAGGTAGTCACAAATTCAAATTATCTGCCTTTCATGATTATTTCATTGGCCACGTAATTTCATGCTTCGACTCAATCAAAAAACAGTTTACAAACCAGTCTTGGCGTCATTGTTTATGTTGACAATAATATATGACAAATCAATTTTTAAATGCCGCAGATGTTTTAATAGGCATAGTTTCGATTGTCCACTTGTACGTGACAAGGAGTAGGGTTGCCTGTCCATCTTCGTGGGTTTTCTCTGGGTCTTTCGGTTTCCTCCCACTGCTAAAGACCCCTACACACAAGCGAATTAATAAAATGCAATTGACACATAATTCGTCCCGAAATGACCTAGGTTGAGTCAAGTGGACGTTAAACCCCATTTCTCTCTCTCTCTTTTCTATAGATTGCATTATTTGATTAGTCATAAAAATAGCACTGTTACAAGGGCAAATAATTTGAATTCGTGTCTCCCCATGAATAAACCCAGGGTTAGTGAAGTAGAATGAAGTGATACCACTAGGGTATACCCAGGATGATTTGGTGTGAGTTTTTTTTTTATTTTGTAAATGTATATATTTATATATATAAATGTAAATCTTTGTTGTAGCTTGTTTCACAGGATAAGCCAGTACAGTAAGTTGCTGATTGATATCAAATATATATTATATATCTTTTTATCCTTCTTGTTTGTATATTGGCCTTCAATCCACTGTAACCCAGGTATCAATTAATCTTGTGTATTTAGCCCTAATTTCTTTCAAATTTGTTCAATATCAAATCTGGAAAATAACGTCCCAATTAATTATTATACATCAATAATCAATTGAGTTGTTTGTTTTTTAACAGTGATCAGGAAATTAAATGCCTGTAAATTGGACATTCGTTATCAAAATTAAAACAGTCAGATCTATATTTCGTTTTTTTTTTATATACTTTCGATGGCCTACACTACATGAAGATCTGACCGGTTCTAGTGGAAGGTCACGTTAGGGGTCCTACCAGCGGCTATTGACCCTTTCATGTCAGACATTGATTAATCAATCACCATTGACATTTCTAGTGGTTTACCCACAATTCCGTGCATCTTACACCAAGAGCTCGCCGTTACTGACCTTTTCATTGGCTAATCCCTCACTTCGACCAAAACGTATGTTATATAACAACTCTTCCAGATCCTAGTGTTGTGAAGACAAGTAAAACGAAATTAGACGATTTCGGATGAATTTTAATTTTCAAACAAAGATATTGAACCAATATAGAAGAAATTAGGGCTAAATACCCAAAATTAAATGATAGCCATGTTACAGTGATTATTATTACTAGCTACTTCATACTGTCATACATTACACGTCTTATAGAAGCTAGTTACACATCTAGATTTATATATACCCAAGTAGAATATCTATTTATTTATTACATAGTTTAAATATCTTCTTCACTTCAATTTTAACGGTGACAAGGACAGCTGTGTAGTCCTTCGGATGGTACTAAAAACCAAGGTCTTGCATATACATTGGCCTGCATGTAAAAGATCCCTTGGCAGTTGGAATTTGATATGAGTAGGCTGTAGTGTCGCTGCCTGGGCAAAATTTCCCTCATAGCAAACTGTATGGTGTATGCCCGTCTTCATTAGCCCAGTTCGGAGCAGAACAGTAGGACGTTAAACCCCATTTCATATCCAACACTTGTTCTTTAGATCATAAGGTCTGTCATTGAGTCAAGTGGAGTGGTTTTGATCTTAAACCTGATCTGTTTTCTAAAGGTCTTTCATGTTCCTCCCACACTTAAAGACCACTAATTAGCCTACATTTCATTTTATTTCATTTCAATTTTAACGGAGTCAAATTTAGAACATTAGATCAATTACAGTCTGTTGACGAACTTGTAATTGACATCATTGATTAAATGGGAAAAATGACGCTCTACAAATAGATTGGGAATAAATGTTTCATTTACAATATCAGGATTGGAACAATTAGTCTGTTCGCAACCTTGAAATTCCCTGATTGGGAATAAATCATTCATTCACTATGTCAGGTTTGGAAAAATTAGTCTGTTCGCGACCCCGAAATTCACATCATATAGGTTATATAGGATTAATAACGGCCTCAATTTCAACTAACTTTTAACTGATTTGGATCAATTCAGTTTTGTGTTCCCATTGTCAGCAAAGAGATTTGGATTAAAATTTGCGTTCACAGTGTCAGGATTAGAGCAATTGGTCTTCCAGTGATTCTTTAATTTACACAATTCAGGCCCTGTGCCATAAGTTACTTTTAATGGAGGCCAATTGGTTTGGATTTAAATTTGTGTTCTGTTGAAGACCCTGCAATTTACATCATAGGGGGGTTGGATGGCTGTATCATAAGGACTGTCATTGAGTCAGCTGGCATGGTTTTGATTCCCGGGTTGTACATGACAAGGAGTGGGGTCACCTTCGTGGGTTTTCTCGGGGTCCTCCAGTTCCTTCCCACTGCTAAAGACCCCTACGTGCAAGCAAATTATTGAAATAAAATTGAACCATATGTTGTGTCGAGTGGACGTTAAACCCCATTTCTCTGTCTCTGTCTCTGTTAGAATATAAAGACATGTAAGATACTGAATCAGTCCATGAGAGCTGTAATTTATACCCCGTCAGTAGCGTGCAGAGAGGGTGGTCAGAAGGGGGTGACGGCCCCAAGCATCAATTTCACAGGGCATCTAATCAAAAGAGTTAAATTGATTTTTTGGGAATTTGAAATCATGGCTGTTAACTTTTGTTAAACAAGCTGCTCTACTTAAACATACATTATGCAAGAGGTAAATCTGCCTATTTCAGGGCTTTCTTTAGGTCTGAAAGATTATGTAAACTATTAGACATTTATTAACATGACAAGACCATAATCAACACTTGATGCCAATGGATATCTCCGATATTAAGTAGATTATAATGGTTCAACCAAATTTTGATTTAATTTAAAAATGGAGAAGCGATGCTTAACTTCGAACAACCAATACAGTGGTTGGAATTAAGGCACACATCTTGTCAAACCTTCAAATGCTAATATCTTCACTTGCAATAGAGTAATTTGAATTGAAATTTTTAATACATTCATTTTGAATTATCTATTTTCGAACTATTATAACAAGAATGGCAAGACGTTTATCTAAATTTTACATAATGTATGTTTAATTTATTTCATCTGTTTTTACATATGTAAAATGACTTCCTTCCTCACATATCTGAGAACTAGGCCCTATACATGAGTCATGGGAGCATACAACCAAGGCACCACCAAATCTCTGCACTCTACTGTAACCCTGAAAGCACTTTAGAACGTTTGGCATTTTCAAAGCATGTTAATATTAATATAATCTGCAACTTACTGGACACGTTAGATCAGTGGTTCTCAACCTTTTTTTGCCAACGGCACACCTTGGAACACATGAAAAAATGGTGGCACACCTGGCCAAATATATATGAAAAATATTTGAATTTTGCAAAATAAAAACATAGCAAGTCATAGACGGCATACAACCATAGACACAGACTAGTCATAGACACATAGAATGTCTCAAACTAAATAAAGAAAAACACAGCCATGAATTTACTTTACTGCAATGTTTCGAATTTTATCTGTCAAATAGCTGGCTTCTTTTAGTGAGAAATTTTCTTAGTGTGCCGTTCAAAATTTTGTGGCATACTTAGGAAGATCTCGTAGCACACCTGTGTGTCGTTGCACACTGTTTGAGAATCACTGCATTAGATAGATATTTTTGCCATAATATGTGATAACTATTTTTTTTTTTCTTGTATCTTTAGTTTAAGTCAGTGTTATAGATTATAATTTGCTGTGATTAATATTCAACTTGAACCTTAAATGTAACCCTTAACTCGTGTTCATTTGATCACCAACACCTGGCGTTTACCTTGAAATCAACAAACAGGGTGGGGGGGTGAGGGGGGGTCATTGGGTGGTTGAATGGTCTAACATCTACGCTTTAGATCATACGGTCTGTCATTGAATCAAGTGACTTGGTTTTGATCCTAAACTTGTACGTGACAGGAGTAGGGTCGCCTACCCAACCTGGTGGGTTTTCTCCGAGTCCTCCAGTTTTCTCCCACAGCTAAAGACCACTACTCGAAAGCAAATTATTGAAATTAAATTTGAAAATATGTTAGTCCCGAAATAACCTGGTTTGTGTCGAGTGAATGTTAAAGCCCATATCTCTCTCCCTCTCTCTTTAATTAGTAGCATTACCTGTATTATTAGCCTGGATAATCACACATATCACTATTTTATGTCCCAGTTTGCAAGTCTTCAAAGAGGCTAGATATATACATAACCCCATTGCTTTATTTTTCAACTTCATACTCTTGGTTTAGTTTTACTTTCTGCTTAAGCCAAGCTCACATAGGGAAAATATTAGTAAACGTTAGTGACATCCATTTTATTTGGGAATGTGTGGTCTCACAATTATTTCCAGTAGGCCGACACGCTATTATTAGCTTTCGTTAGATTCATTTCAGTGATTTTACAAAATCACAAAGCATAGATAAAAAGGGCATCGAAATGTTTTTAAAAAATGTAAGTTATTGTCTGTTAAAAAAAATCGCACCAATCGCATGAAAGATTACAAAAAGTATGCTGACCTTTTTGGTTCACTGAACATTTTTTTTTCAAGAGTTGATTCTTAATTTGTTTGATTTTTATTTGGCTTTGTTTTTTTTTTTGCTTCAGCTTTGAACTACCATTTTGTTGCTTAATTTTGTTTTTATTTTTTTATTTAGCACATTTGTTTAATATTTTATGATTCGTGATTTTAATCCAAAGATTAACCTAGGTGCCTTTTTCTCGATAAGTTTGTTAGAAATAACAGCCATGCCAGCGGAACCAAGAATATATTTTTCTGACTTTGCTTTGTACTCAAATTCCTGAACATTTGTTGATAGATATACACTATATCAAAGAATTGAGACATTATTTTACAGGGGTGAGGCTACCCGAAAAATGTTTTCTGAAAGTCTAAAGCTATTGAATTGAAAATGGCGCAAGTAGGAAATGTAATAAACAAGGGAAAACTAACATTAATAAAGTTGTTGCCAGGGTAACACATAGCTTTAACATTTCAGAACCAAATTTTTCGAATAGCCTCCCCCTTAATGTATTCTAAATTTTGTTTCATTTGAGTAAAGATTCAGCAGATTACGAAAAACATTTCTTGGCTGTCGGTGCCTGTTTTATTATTTATTATTCAAAGAATAGGTCATTGGAAAAGAGCTGGGAAATAAATATGATTATAGTTGTAGACATGTTGAGGAATATATACTCTTCAAAAAAAGTAGGGGATATTTAGAAACAATACAAAACTGCGGAAATGCACTGCTGTTTTTATTAGAGGTAACCAGTGTATTTTAATAACAGGCCAATTGCCTACACATGAACATAAACATCTCATAAGGGCGTCCTATTTCACTCGCAAAGAGATACACTGTCAAAAGTGAAAATGGACGTTCTTGATTTTTATCTTAATAATGAGTAATTGCTCTACCAATCCTCAGACATTCAGCAATTCGTCGTGGCATGCTCCTAATCAACCGTCCAATCACGATTTGGGGCAATCTGACCCACTCCTCTTGCAGTGCCACGGCCAATTCTTGCAGTGTTGTCGCTTGACCCTGACGTAGACGAACACATCTCCCGATCAAATTAAATGTAACACACTAAAGCAAAGATACGCTAAACAGTAAATCTTATGCAAGAACCGATAGGAAAGCAAACATGGATAGCTAAACCAGCACGCAGCAGTTTTCATAAACCCTTCCTTGAAGTGTCAAATTTGACAATGAACCTCTCCCACATGTATGGCGCTATTGCGTGTCGCATGTGCTGCTCAGTGGTTCTGTTGGGGCGATAAGTTCTTCATCTGTGAACATACTCGCAAAGCATGTCAAGTGTCCATGACTATTTATCATATTGCAACCTGCATAGGTATTTGCATTTCAATATCCCCTACTTTTTTTGAAGAGTATATTAACATTAAATACAAAATAATAATATGCATTATTGTCAATGATTCACTCTTTTTTGTTTACAAAATGATAGCCCATTTTTCATTGATTTAAATGAGGGCATTTGTTTTTCGCTGAAAATGAATAAATATGTTGAACATTCTTTGTCAGGGAAGCAATCAGTGGTATTGACATTACAGCCACGGCCCCTACATAACAAGGGGGTTGGATGGCCGAATGGTTAGCGCATGCACGCTGTATCATAAGGTCTGTCATTGAGTCAACTGGTGTGGTTGTACGTGACAAGGAGTACCATCACCTGTCCAACCTCTTGGGTTTTCTCTGGGTCCTCCGGTTTCCTCCACTGCTAAAGACCCCTACGCGCAAGCAAATTATTGAAAGAAATTTGAACCATATGTTAGTCCCGAAATGACCTAGTTTGTGTCGAGTGGACGTTAAACCCCATTTCTCTCTCTCTCCCCTGCTTAACAAATTTTCTGTCTAATCACCAGAACTACCTATAACTCTTGACTTATGGAGATATTTTTTTCTGTTTCAGGCCCGAGAACAGTTGATAGCCGAGAACTCACAATTACGAGCCAGACTTGAAGTGGCCAATGATCAAATTCTTATTTTAAAATCTCACATAGGAGTGATCCGACAAAATACTATAGCATTTATACTTGAACAAATGGATGCGTTACATATGCAGAGGGATTCGGAAGTGTAAAATCGTGCATGACCTTGATCTCAACAGCGTACATTTCAATTTAAAACTTTATCCAATTAAAAGTGAGCATGTCGTCGTATATTGTGATCCGTTGTGTTCCATGTATTATCGGATTCCGGCAACAGGAGAAAAATCAAATCTATGTAGACCAAAGAGAAATCGTCATAATTTCAAAAATCATAATATAGCTTAAAACAATTTATCATATCTTGTGTGCGGAGCGTCGTCCATTTTTAATTGGATTCATTATAATAATGTGATCATACGGTAATTCCAAGAAGATCGATCATCCGGGCTGTCGGTCACTAATGAAGGCGACGGTAGACCAGACATCTTGGGGAACAATAAACAATAATGTCAATTGTAGTTGTCCGTTCGTGGGTGTTGTTCTTGAGAATAACAATAAAAAACAAACAAAATATTGCCGGAAAGTTTATAAAAAAAAAAGGCTGAAGTGTTAATTAATGATTTAAGATCGTCAGGTTTTTAACTGCATTGAGATCTCTTTAAACTAACTTTATATGGGATCAAATCTAAATATCGGTTTACTCCATAGAAAAACAGAAATAGTTGGTTTTCATAAGGTTGTTGGTTTTCTCAGGTGTCCGATCGACCAAAATTTACTGTACCTCCACTAAAATACAGGACCGTTAATTAGCTACAAGGAACATTCTGGATTCATTCCTATAAACTCCTTGTTGATGATTGTTCTGTTGGGTGAATATTAAATCCCTTTTGTGTTATATTAGGAGGTAAACCCCCTGTGAATTTCGTATTGCAACGTGTTCGCAGACTCGAGCAGTTTGGTGAAATAAACACTTTTGAAACCTTCCCTTGAAATTTGAAACTGGGAGTTTAGTGTTTACCTCTTCAAGGAACGCCCGTCGGTCAATATGTGCATAGAAGTGTATATATATGAAATAAATATGGTGATAGATGAAAAATATATAATATATTATGAACTTTGAACTGTGAAGGTTATGGGTAACCTTTAACCTCATGGTTAAAACTATAGACTCTTTGTAAAGTGTGACAGCATTTTAAATTTACAAAATGCATTCACTCAAAGCAATATATTTTGGATAAGTGTGGTGCGGAAGTGAGGCAATGCAAGATAAATGGAATGATATCTGACTATTATAAATATTATTATTGTATCGTGTCGACCATCATATTTTGTTAATTATTATTAATTATCTGTTTAATTACGACATGAAAAATGCTGATCTACTGATTTTTACAGTTAGTCGATTCCCCTAAAAATATACCCCTAAGGAGCATTTCTACAGATGTAGTCAGTTCCCCTAATAATATACCGCTATATCACCCCTTAGGAGCATTTGGCAATATAACGCATTAAAGACAGAGTCAAGACCATTTATATGGATCAAATAACACACTATTTATGGATAAGAATTACTATGGTTTATTTCACTGCGACATTTCAACAAGATTTCACAAGTCGTTATCAAGCATATAACACAAATAAATAAAATGAAAAGAATATGATTATATATATATATATATATATATATATATATACAGGAACAGTGTGAACCCTCCAATGGAGTACAACTAATTTCTACGTCATAGAGTTAGCCGATTCTAAAAATAATGTACCATCATAATCGCTGAATGACATTTAGCGATTTGAAACATACAAGCTATGAAGATCATGTTAAATCAGGGGGTTGGGTGGTCTAGTGGTTTAACGCGTGCACAGGAAACCATAAGGTCAGTCATTGAGTCATGTGACATGGCTTCGATTCCACAGTTGTACGTTACAAGGAATAGGGTCGCCTGTCCAAGACCCCTATGCGCAAGCAAATTTTTTAAATAAAATTGAACCATGTTAGTCCCAAAATGACCTAGTTTGTGTCAAGTGGATGTTAAACCCCATTTCTCTATCTCTCTTTATATAGAGTAGAAGCACTGGTTTGTTATTTAAAAATACTAAACTTCTAAGAGATATTTTATTCATTATGAACAGGGGAACAGGCAAAGAGCCTACCACAAACCCCTATCCCTATTATAAATATTCTGTATAACACGACTTTATCAGAATACATGTTGAGACATTACAGTACTATAGCATAATAAACCAGTGGTTGTGGATCTTAAAATGGCCCGAGAATCATTCACCTACGGGTTGGCCCATTAGTAATTAATTGATTTTCGGCAGTATTTATGTCCAGTGAAGTGGCCCGGTTTTTAACTGAAGGACCCATATAAATGGTCTTTGTTTTTTTAATGTACGTTTAGCTTTCTCGTGTTCTCAATACATTTATGTAGCAACAAAACAAAGTCGACTTTAATTTCCGTGTCAAAAGAGTCAAATCAACAGATCTCTGTTTTTGTTCCTGCTTAAATGCACGCTATTGAGAACAACAAAACTAAAGATACATTTATGTTGGAACAAAAACAAAAATGGACTTTGGTTTCTGAGTCAAGAGAGTCAAGAAAAAAAATATTTATTTTAATTTTATTCCTGAATTTATTTTGGAATCTGTACTCTGGTTTATATAATTTAAAAGTTTATTGGTTTCCAAGTCAAGAGTCAAGACAAATATTTGTTTTAGTTTTATTAATTGTTATTATTTAAAAAGAAAGTATAATATATTGTTATTTATATGCTACCTATTTCTAGTCCTATAAAATATACCTGGTTTTGTTTTTTTCCCAAATAGTTTAGTTATAATATTGTATCATACAATCTGATTAAAACACAGATCTATATTTCGTTTCGTTTTTTTTATACTTTCGATGACCTACACTACATGAAGATCTGACCGGTTGTAGTGGAAGGTCGCGTCAGTGGTCATACAACCGGCTTTTGACCCTATGACGTCAGACATTGATTAATCAGTCAGTGTTGACATTTCTAGTGGTTTACCCACAGTACCATGCATCACATGCCACGAACTCACCATAACAGATTGTTTTATTGGCTAATCCCTCATTTCAACCAGAACGTGAGTTATATAACAACTCTTCCAGCTCCTAGTGTAGTGAAAACAAGTAAAACGAATTTTGAGCTATAAAAAAAAAAACGAAATAGGATCTGTGTTAAAATCAGATTGTGTATCATACAGCCACACACCTCAAATAGAAAAATATATATGAAGAGTTCAGGGGAAGAACGATCTAAGTCATATTTTTGTCTTTTCGCATAAAAGGCAAAACAGACTTTTGGACGAGAATGTTTGACGCAAACAGAACAACGAGTGGGTTTAATTACAACTTTAAAATGATGTTCAATACGAATCATAATTACCAGTACAACAACTGACTTCCACTTTTTAGCCAAATTAAATTCAAATAAAAACGATGGACTTGTATTTGTCCAGGAGGCCATTTCAGAAGAGCCTTGGTTCGATTATTCCTCAGAAAGCTTATACAATTTGCTACCAGATGGTGCCATTAACTGGGGTTCGTTGAAAAAGTGACTTAGATCGTTCTTCCCCGGGGCTCTTCATATGTTTATAAATTTTGAAATATAATTCTGAATAAGATAAAGGAATTACCTGAATCTGGATGTTAACAGGAAAATTACAGACCTGTAGTAAGAATTAAAGATCCAGCTCCGAGTCCACAAAGCATTCTCAGACTTAAGAATTTACTCAAAATTGTTCGCTTTATTTTAACTAATATATAGCCCTTTATAAAACTTCTGTTGTTTTAATGTATCAAATACATCAATAAGAAATTATGTGCAGAGTTTTGTGTTTCTGGATCAAAGATATTTCTCTTAAACAGTGACTGAAAGTTGAGTAAATTTCTTAACTTAAGCCTGAGAATGCTTTGTGAATTCAGGGCCTGATTTATATCAGAAAAATTTGCATTTATTTTTACAGAAATTATTGTTCATGTTTATATAAGGCTATCCTTGTCAGAATTTCATTGGTTCCCTGTCACTCTGTATTACCTCTGTCCTAAACTGGTAGTCTACCGTACTAAGGATTGTTTACAATAAATAGAATTATTAGACAAGGCAATCGCCAACAATGGGAATTATTCAAGAATATTTACATAAGCTGAAACTATTAGAATATCTAAATTATGTGCATGTTCAACAATAACGACAAATTATTTGCGCTTACATAGGGTTATTGCTGCTTTAAATTCATTTGAGGTGATAAAATGATAAACAGATGAACAACTAAATGTTATGAACAATTTGTGACTCAGAATTAATGAATGGCTAGATCTATTTGTTAAGGCCAACTCAAGATTCCGTCAAGGTCGTCAAGATGTAAATAAGTTAGGGCATGTGATTGTTGGCGAGATTGTAGGTTATGGTTAGGGTAAGCATTAGGACTAGGTCCAGGGTTAGGGTTAGAGTTGGGATTAGCGCTATTCCTGTTTACATCTTGTGACCTTTGACCAAACTTGAAGTTGGCCTTATCAAATAGATCTAACCATTAATGAATGGAATGTGAGAGCCAATGGATTTCTGAAAATGGCTGCTTGTGCTTTCATGTGCTACCCTTATACACAGATACAACTTTTATATTAATTTATTTAGATTATTGTTATTAATAATAACTGACTAACGTTGATTATAAACTGAAATTGTTGCATATATGTATCATTGCCCATTTCTGGTTTCATTTCTTAAAAAAAAAAAAAAAAAAAAAAGCTTCTGAATCTCCGCAAAAATTTATAAAGATGGATGATACTGTGGGAAAATGAGATTTGTAAGGGATCCTAAAAAACTATGATTGATTAGATATTCAACTAATACCATTGGTGTGCCAGGGGTTTTGTTTTTGCACCCTAGAGCAAGGACCTAAATTCCCAAGCATCATTGCTTTAGACAATGTCAGCACCCCTACAACATGGGTTCAAGCTCGGCCATACATGCCGGTCATGGCCGCTTGAGTTAAAAATTGACCGAAAAATCTTGGGATCCTTCGGTCAATTTACACTCTGTAAAACTATCAAAATTTTCAAAACCCTATTTTTAAACATGGCTACGATCAATCTCATCCATTGTAGCTGGGAACTTCTACAGCCTACAACTTCCAACCCTGATGTTGCATAATTTCAGATAGTGATCATCAAATATAAAATAAATTTACTATAAGCAAACAAATCAGATCTGGCCAGCTTCTGTCCCAGAGGGAGCAATCCACAAAAATATTTGGGAGACGCCACCCCCTGCCCTGCTCCTTCCCATGACACTGTCAACTCGAGCCCAATTTTGGACATTTGTATCAATTTATACAAGCTGAAACTAGAAATGGGGAGTTTTATTAAAAACCTTGTTATTTTGAGGAACCATTCTAGGTATCCCCTGTGGTCTTATTCCGTTCTACTCCACTAACCTCTGGGTTAATTCATTTGGGGAGACATTATTCAAGTAATCTGCCCTTGATGATTGTGCTATTTTTATTGACCAACCAAATAAATCGTTAATTACAATGAAGTTGGCGATGGGAAGTAACTCTCATCTTGTTGCAACAAGCCGCCATATTGTTGTGAACGTAACATTGGTTTTGTAAACTGTTTTTTGATTGGTTCGCAGACTCAAGCCACGATCAAGGCCAGAGCAGATAATTTGAAACCATGGAAACCCTATGGATTAACACAGGGTATAGTGGAGTAGAACGGAATGAGACCACTGTGGAAACCCTGTTATTTTGAGGAACATGACATAATAAATATTATTTAAATATAGTTTTATTTTTATGTAGATAGATAATTAGCAGAATAGTTCATTTATGCCCAACACACACAAACAAACAAATATCTCGGAGGGTATGATATTCTTTCACTAACTGTGGATAATTAGGTAGAACTTTGGTCAGGTCATTCTCGATTCATATCCTAGGAATTTGTGTCAGGTCATTCTCGATTCATATCCCAGGAATATGTCAAGTCATTCTCAATTCATATCCCAGGAATCTGTTAAGTTATTCTCGATTCATATCCCAGGAATTTATTGGGTTATTCTCAATTCAGATCCCAGGAATCTCTGTCAGGTTATTCTCGATTCATATCCCAGGAATATGTCAAGTCATTCTGAATTCATATCCCAGGAATCTGTTAGGTTATTCTCGATTCATATCCCAGGAATTTATTAGGTTATTCTCAATTCATATCCCAGAAATCTGTCATGTCATTCTCGATTCATATCCCAGGAATCTGTGTCAGGTTGTTCTCGATTCATATCCCAGGAATCTCTGTCAGGTCGTTCATAATTCAGATCCCAGAAATCTGTTGGGTTATTCTCGATTCATATCCCAGGAATTTATTGGGTTATTCTCGATTTATATCCCAGGAATATGTCAGGTCATTCTCGATTCATATCCCAGGTCATTCTCGATTCATATCCCAGGAAATCTCTGTCAGGTCATTCTTGATTCATATCCCAAGAATCTTTGTCAGGTCGTTCTTGATCCATATCTCATTCTTGATTCTTTTCCTAAAAATTTGTCAGGTCATTCTCGATTCATATCTCAGGAATCTGTCAGGTCATTTTTGATTCCTATACCAGGAATCTGTTGGGTCATTCTTGATTCATATCTCTGGAATTACTGTTCGGTCATTCCTGATTGATATCTTGGGTTTTTCTCAGGATGGTCAATTTGTAGAAGATGCCCAAGATGGTATGCAAGTGGCCAGATATATAATTATACTCAGAAAAATACCAAGAATTCTTTAGTTAAAGTTTAGCAATATACAACCTCTCTGCGATATCACCCATGGTGGAAGTGGATGTTAACCTCATAACTAACTTTTAAAGCATGCCATAATTATAGTACCGTCATTTGTAGCTTATATTAAGCCTAAAGGCGGTGTCCACATGCCTAATAACTACGTCTTGAGCTCGATTTACACTTTGTTCTTGGGGAGTCACAGTGGCTCAGTGAATAAGATGTTAGCTCGCTAAACTGAATGTCCTGTGTTCAATCCCGAGAAAGTTCTTTGGGATTTTCTGGAGTAGGCCTAGTTCCTCCTTGCCAGTGGTGAAGGATGGAGGGCCTGTTAAGGGACAAAAATAGATTTGGTCTGTTAAACAGGCATTATGCAAGAGCCAAATCGGCCTATTATAGGTCTTTGTTTAGGCCTTAAATGTTATATAAAATATCAGTTAGACATTTATCAACATGACAAGATCAGCCATTTTATGATTTAATTTAAAAATGGTGAAGCGAGGCTAAGCCTCGAACAACCAGTACAGTGGTTACAATCGGTGCACGCACACATCTTGTCAAACCTTCAAAGGCTAATATCTTCGCTCAGAATAAAGTAATTCAAATTAAATTTTCCATATATTCATTTTGCAAAATCTATTTTAGAACTATTATAGCCAGCATGACCAGCTCTTTATCTAAATCATACATAAGGTTTTTTTTAACCGTAAGAAAAAAAAAATAAACATGCGCTTTATTGAAATAAAATTGTAGGATACATTAAAGTAACCAAGTCTGTAACTCAATATCATGCAAAACCATCGACATTGAAAACACGAATTATGTGTCAATTTAAATCAACATTGATGTTGTGATCTTACCTGGAAAAGATGGGCTTCTGATATCCAATATTTAAACAAATAAACATTTTACCATTGGTACACAAATCGTGTACCATAATGCGTTTCAACGCTATTTGTAACAAGGGACTCGAAAAACAAGGCTAGGCATATTCCACAAGTCATGTCAAATGGTGACGTCATATTCTTATCTGGAGGGCACGCACAATAAATATTATCAGTGTAGACTGGAATAAACAGACGCTACAGATTACCATTCGATTGAGACTTCTGGCGTATATTGCCGAACATAACTGATTAGAAATTACAGTAAAAAACAGAAACGATTGAATGTAAATTCAGTTTATATACATTTATATTACATTATCATATGCGTTGCGATCCATTTATGTCTACTTCTAGGTCCCAAATATTAGCGATTTAGCCCCTTTAAGCTCTGAAATGACAGCTTTGAATAGAAATAACCTGACATGATACTAGTCAAATAATATTGTTATCGTGTGTGTGTGTTGGGCAATATATTGTATTAAGTGTATCATAATGTGTAAATGTACATGGGAAAATATTGTTACATTCTCACCTGTTGATTATATACCTTGAGATAATATATTTCAATAAGATATATGTTATATTGTATAGTTACTAGGGAAACAAAATATATTTCCTTAAAATATGGGTATATTTCATAAGAGATCAATAATAAAAAATACTATATTTCATAATATATTCATCAGGGCTGATTTATCCAAAATGCACTGTATCATAAAGTCTGTCATTTAGACAACTGGCGTGGTTTCGATTCCCCTGGTTGTATGTGACAAGAAGTAGGGTCGCCTGTCTAACCTTGTGGGTTTTTCTCCGGACCCACCGGTTTCCTCCCTCTGCTAAAGACCCCTACGCGCAAGCGAATTATGGAAAAAAAATTGAACCATATGTTAGTCCCGAAATGACCTAGTTTGTGTCGAATGGACGTTAAACCCTCTCAAAATATTGAAAGAAAATTTTAATAATAGGATGTATTAAAATATGGCTGTATTCACCTTGAGTAACATGTGGGTATCAGTGTGTTTCGTTGGGAACTCTTGTTTGTTTTGCACTTAGGTTGAAATGAATAATCTAAGTGAAGGAGGACCCAACTACACACAAAACAAAAATCTACAAGATAAACCTGTGGACTTAACAGAATATAGACATTGCAAAAATAAACAAATATCAAACCAAGTGAATGGATACCCGGGGACCAGTCGTAAGTGTCTACTGCGCTGTATAGTTCCAATCCTGTAATGGTAAAGGTTTCAATCATAATGAAAACAATGATGGTGGCCAAAGCACCTATTTAGATTGTCAATTTTCCATGTGTAACACAAAAGTCAAAGTTATTTTTCTGGCTTAACGGAAGGCATCTTTCGTCATTTGAAAGTCGTGGGTCATCAGCAAGCCATTTTGACAAAAAAAGCTGCAGATCATAAGGTTTTTTGGCATGCTGGCTTAAAAGCGACTTTCGAGTTACATCAGGAAACACAACGATCTGAATGGACGATTTCAGCCACCATAGATTACTAAGGTTGATAGAGTAATCTTCAGAAATAGTTTTATATTGTTTACCTTGACTGTTATCTTTATTTCTGAGTTACAATCACTGTCGAAATTTGATTGTTGTATGATGAAATAGATAAACTGACATAGATTCTTGTGTCAATTTAAAGTTTAAATGGTTATATTGAATTTCAAATAATTCTCAAATTTATTTAAGCTAAATAGATTCTGTAAAATTATGCTTTGAAACTAGGAATCTTAAATAAATCAGCCCCAAGCCTCATCTTAGAGAATAGTCAAAACTACAAATTTTGAATAAATCAGCCCCATGCCTCATAATATCATCTTAGAAAGTAGTCAAAACTCACATATTGTGAAGGGTTCCTGTAAATATCTAAATAAATGTTAAAGATTTGTTTTTCGTTTTTTGGGGAATTTTTTTTCTGTTAATTTTGATGGTGCTGGTCACTAAAACTTCTTGTTTTCTTCTGTTTGTTTTCTTCTTCAAATGACATTTAGTTGAGAGAATTCATTGTGTATGAATTTTGATCATGTAGAAAATTATTTTGTTCCGTTGCTTTGTTATTTTCCAACTAAGCGCGGTTGGTATATAGATAATTTAGATATTTATTTCGTGCATGAAGATTTTTTATAGAGAATATCATCATTATCATCAATACATTCTAGTTATCATTCAATATTCTCATTTTTCAGAAGCTTAACATATTATCTCGATTAGAAAGTAAAATATTTGTCTTTTGTGCTTAAACAATCTGATTAAAATACAGATCTATATTTCGTTTCGTTTTTTTTTTTTATACTTTTGATGGCCTACACTATATGAAGATCTGACAAGTTGTACTCGAAGGTCATATCAGGGATCGTACAAGCGGCTTTTGACCCTATGATGTCAGACATTGATTAATCAATCAGCATTGACATTGCAAGTGATTTACCCACAGTTCCGTGCATGCCATGCCAAGAAGTATCTGTAACAGACTGTTTCATTGGCTTATCCCTCACTTCAACCAGAACGCCCCCGGTAATATAACAACTCTTCCTGATACTTGTGTAGTAAAGACAAGTAAAACGAAATTTTGAACTATAAAAAACGAAACGAAATAGGATCTGTGTTTTAATCAGATTGATGTTTAAATTAATTTCTATGTAAAATAAAATTAACTAATTAAAAAACTTGAGGTTCTGTAAAATATTGCTTTTGTTTTTATCCAATATATCTACTAAATTCAGATTTGAAACCTTTTTATGTTTAATTAAATTCATTTCCTTGTAAAATAATATTAACTTGTTAAAAATCATGAAGTTTTGTCAAATATTGAAAAAGGTTACTTTTTCTGGAGCAGGAACCGGGCCTCAAACCCTACTCATTTTGTTGTTCTTATTGTTGGGGGTGTGACGCCCTTCAATAAAAGTCTACTACTCCGTCAATTCAAGCATGGTCGACTTGAAACTTAGCAAGCTTGTTCCTTGGACAATTGTGCATCAATCGACAGACTTAGATATTTGATATGACGTTACAATTCCAAGAAGGCGGCAATGACATCCGGCTAGGTTCCTGGTCCATATAATAGCCTACTATTGTACTTGTTTATGTCTAAATTCCTTTCCTTTTTGTAGAACGAAATTTACTTTTTTAAAAATCATGAGGTTCTGTATAATATTGATTGATAAATACTTCTATTTTTAATAATACTCACAGACCTCAAAGACAATTCAAGCTTCATATATTCAATCAAACTGTCAGGATTTGAAATTAGAAGCAAAGTGTTTGAAAATTTAGACCATATGTCCCTTGTAAATTGAATAGATTAAATGGGTGTGTCTGAGGTTAAGAAAGAATATGAAAACATTATTTTCTGATAACTGTAAAGAATGTGTACACTGTACAGGTTTACATGATGATAGCTGTATTATATACCATAGATTTTATGAATAACTGTGAGTTATACAGAGATTACTGTGTGTTATACTTTAGTAACCATGCATTATACAGATATAGCTGTGAGTTCGACAGAAACAACCATGTGTTATGCTGCAATAATAACCAGTTATATTTCACTTATCATTATAATTAATATACTGGTATAAAGACTAGTTAATTATCACAATATCAGAGTATCATGTCAAGTATGATACCTTTATGAGTTTCTCAGTGTCCTGTGGTTTCCTCTCACTGCTAAAGACCCGTATGTGCAAGCGAATTATTGAAATTAAGTTGAACCATATGTTAGTCCCAAAATGACCTAGTTAGTGTCAAGTGGATGTTAAACTCTGTGTATGTCAGATACTTTAAGAATATAATATAGTTGTTATTTATTTTATATTAATATATTTTGTTTGTTTGCTTGAAGGTATCATATAATCTTTTACGATTTACAATGTAGTCATCACGTACAAGTGAAATTCAAGAAAAATAAATTAAATTTAAATTGTTGTACTATAGAGTTGGAACATTTTAAGTTTTCAAGGTAGTCATAGAAATTATTTATCAGATTTTCTATCCTGTTTAGTAAGGCTAAATCTATTTGTTAAGGCCAGGTCAATTTTCATCAAGGTCGCTGAGATGTAAATAAGGTTAGGGCACGTGTTTGTTGCGAGATTGTAGGTTAGGGTTAGGGTAAGCATTAGGACTAGGTCCAGGGTTAGGGTTGGGATTAGTGCTAGTCCTGTTTACATCTCATGACCTTTGACCAAACTTGAAGTTGGCCTTATCAAATAGATCTAACCAGTTAGTAGAAAAATATTTCAAGGGGTGACGATTCCTTTCAAATACTGTATACGTCTTTGGAGGGTAGTGTAATATATATATATAAGTATCAAGAATTAATAATACTGGTTCTGTTAATAAATTCTTGTATCAAACAGGCCCGAAGCTAGTAGGGGGGTGGGGGGCAGCCCAATCGTTGTCACTTGGCTTTATAGGGCGTCCATACTGATATGGGTACATTGGTCGTTGGCTTCGTAATGCATCCAATGGAAAGGGCACGGTTCGACGCCCAGGGAATGCAGCTGCCTGCATGCCCTCCTGCTAGCTACGGGCATGTCAAATGTTTTTTGGGGTTAATGAATCAAGGGATAGTGATTTTATATTATTTTTGTTCTTTTAATTATCAATTCATTCATTAATGTCGGACTTGGATAATTAGTACATGACATGTATTCGGAAACATAATATATGAGCTTCTGAAAATAAAGAATTTTATGGTTTATATGAATGTTGTGTTTATTTATGTACAGTATTGTCAGTATGGTTTACCAAAGAATCACAGGCTATCACAGAGAGGGGGTTACATTGTATTATCGGCAAATTGATGACCATCAAGGGCCTGGTTGATGAAGAGTGCAAGGGGTTGGGTGGTCAAATGTGTGTGCTTTAGACAATAAAGTCTGTCATTGATTCAATTGGTGTGGCTTCAATCCCTGGTGATCACGGTGGCTTAGTGGTTAAGACGCTGGCTCGCTAGCCTGGAGGTTGGGTGTTCGGTCCCTGCATATTGGCCGAGAAAGTTCATCCAGATTTTCCGGTGTGGTTCTCCCTTGTCAGTGATGCAGGACAGAGGACAGAGGACTTGACAAGAAAAGCTGTCTAGTCGTTCAGATGGGACGAAAAACCGAGGTCCTGTGTACACATTGGCGTGCACATAAAAGATCCCTTGACAGTTGGAATACGATATGAGAATAGCCCGTAGTGACGCTGTCCGGGCAAAATTTCCCTCATAGCACAATGTATGGTGTATACCCGTCTTCATTAGCCCAGTTTGGAGCAGAACAGTAGACGTTAAACTCCATTTCATTTCATTTCATTACAGCTTCAATCTCAGACTTGTATGTGACAAGGAGTACGATCATCTGCCTAACCTTGTGGTTTTTCTCTGAGTCCCCCAGTTTTCTCCCACTGCTAAAGACCCCCTATATACAAGCAAATTACGGTATTAAAATTAGTCATATGTTAGTCGCAAAATGACCTAGTTTGTTGCTGAGTGGTGTTTCACCCCATATCTCTCTCTGTCTCTCATTATAGAGTATTGACTGTCACAGTCATGAAATTGTCCCTTGCCAGTGTGTTCTCATTCACATGTTCAAACACTTGAAACAGGCCAGTCGGACCGAAATTAAGGGGGACGGGCGATGGGCAGTCTGAGCCAAAATGGGGTTCTAGGAACTTGAACACATTCGTGCTTGCAAATTATACATATTACGAGAGCTGAAGGTAAGTTGGGGGTGCATACTAACATAGTATGACATCATGGCACTAGCGTAAATAGACTTATTTTTAAAAAAAAAAAAACAGATCAGCAGACGTGTTAGTGTAAATACAAACAGTCTCTACTTTCACTTGCACAGATGTAAGATGACGCAAGAACCTGTGGGGCATGCGCAATGGGAATGTATCAAAACGTGGCCGGCCGGTTTCGTGATAAACACTGCTGTAGTGTTTTGTGCTGACGAAATCGATTGTAAAATCATATTATTGATCACTATAAAAAGCAAGAATACTGAAAGTTGACATTATTTTTGAAAATTTTACAGTATGGAGGAAGAAATTGCCAAGTATACGGCAAAAGTGGTTAAAGCAGAGGCCGAAATCCAGCGATTGGAAAAGGATTTGGACTTGATCGAAAATCCGCAAGCTCTTGTAAACAGTGGAATAGTGGCGCCTGCCGTCCTTCAACTTCAGACAGAGAAAAACAAACTTCTTTATCAATTAAAACACCTAAAGTCACACTTAGCTGAAGAAAAATCAAAGTCTCCCGACCATATGATTAGCATTACAGCACTGATAGAAGATGTCTTTCAAGTGGCCATTCTGGCGGCTTATCCTGGCCAGGATTTACCAAAAGCTGATGTCACAAGCAGTGCCAAATTTTCCGATTATCAATGTAACAGTGCCATGAGTATTTCCCAGAAACTGAAGACAGCAGGGGTGAAGTGTAATCCACGAGATGTAGCACAAAACATTGTCAATAACTTGCCCAAAGTTGATTGCATAGAAAAGGTGGATATCGCTGGTCCAGGATTTATAAACATTTTCTTGAACCGAGAATATGTTTCGCAAAATGTTTTCAAACTCCTGAACACCGGTGTGCAACCACCACCCATTGGTAAAAGGAAGCGAGCTGTGGTTGACTTTTCGTCACCCAACATCGCCAAGGAGATGCACGTTGGTCACTTGCGATCAACGATTATCGGAGAGAGCATTTGTCGTCTGCTAGAATGGGTCGGACATGACGTCTTGAGGATAAATCATTTAGGAGATTGGGGAACACAGTTCGGAATGTTGATTGCTCACTTACAAGATGAATACCCCAACTACCTGACTAAACCACCTCCAATCGGAGATTTGCAGGGCTTTTACAAAGCCTCGAAAGTTCGATTCGAGGCAGATGAAGCGTTCAAGAAACGAGCCTATGAATGTGTAGTTAAGTTACAAGCTCATGAACCGGAACATTATAAAGCCTGGCAAACAATCTATGACATATCACGAAAAGAATTTCAAAAAGTTTATGAAAGGTTACAAGTTCACTTGATTGATCGAGGCGAGTCTTTCTATCAAGAACGAATGAAACTGGTTATCGAGGAATTGGACGCAAAGGGATTGACGAAGGTTGAGGACGGTCGAAAGATAATGTTCGTGGATGGTCACAAAGTTCCGCTGACCGTTGTCAAATCAGATGGAGGATTCACCTACGATACTTCCGATTTAGCGGCCATTAAAAATCGACTGGTCGAAGAGAAGGGCGAATGGTTGATCTATGTTGTAGATGCTGGACAGAGTGGACATCTGGAGACGATTTACTCAGCAGCTGAAATGATTGGATGGTTAAATCCTTCAGTACACCGAGTGGAACATGTGAGTTTTGGTGTCGTGCTTGGAGAAGACAAGAAGAAGTTCAAGACTCGATCGGGTGAAACAGTTCGATTGGTCGATCTTCTAGACGAGGGAATAAAACGAGCAGAGGCGAAACTCAAAGAGAAGGAGCGAGACAAAGTTCTGACCAAAGATGAATTAGAACAAGCAAAGTCTTCAGTCGCATATGGTTGTATAAAATACGCTGATCTGTCGCATAATCGAACCCACGATTATGTCTTCTCTTTTGACAAGATGTTGGATGATCGCGGAAACACCGCCGCTTATTTGCTGTATGCTTACACCCGAATCCGATCTATCGCTCGATTGGCTAATGTTTCGGAAGAAGATCTGACCAAGGCTGCAAAGACGACCAAGATCGAACTAGACCACGAGAAAGAGTACAAGCTAGCTAAATGTGTTTTGAGGTTTCCAGAAATCATTTTAAAACTTTTGGACGATCTGTATCTGCACACACTATGTGATTATTTATATGAACTTACGACCACTTTTACTGAGTTTTATGATAATTGTTATTGCGTAGAAAAAGATCGAACCACTGGGAAAATTATTAAAATAAATATGAGTCGATTGCTATTATGTGAGGCTACTGCTAATGTTATAAATACAGGATTTAAAATATTAGGAATTAATGCATTACAGAAAATGTAGAGAATAAAGAAAATGTAAAATTTCAGTATTTATTTTTGCCGATTTCAACAATTTGAATTTGAATTAAAATGCCTAAATCCAAATCACATGAATATACAATTATTTCTGTATTTTTGTTGTCCCCCGCCTTTCGAAGAAAGCAGGGGACTATTAAAATGGGTTCGTCCGTCTGTCTGTCCGTCCGCCTGTCTGTCCGTCACACTTTTTGGGACACAATAACTCTCTTCCTAATTGAGCTAGAATGTTCAAACTTGGTGTATGTGTTTATTAGGTCAATGCCTTGATGGAGTTCGAAGATGAGCATTTTCCGCTTAGGGTAAGCAGAGATAAGCAATTTGATTGGTTGATGCTTTGGGACACGATAACTTTAGTTCTAATTAAGTGAGAGTGATGAAACTTGGTGTATAGTTTCATTACATCAATACCTTGACTAAGTTCGATAATGAGCATTTTCTGCTCAGGGTAAGCAGAGCGATAAGCAATTTGATTGGCCGAGACTTTGGAACACAATAACTCTCCTTCTAATTGAGGTAAAATGTTCAAACTTGGCGTAGGTGTTTATTAGGTCAATGCCTTGATGGAGTATGAAGATTAGCATTTTCTGCTTAGGGTAAGTAGAGATAAGCAATTTGATTGGTTGATGCTTTGGGACACGATAACTTTAGTTCCAATTAAGTGAAAGTGATGAAACTTGGTGTATAGTTTCATTACATCAATACCATGACTAAGTTCGATATTGAGCATTTTCTGTTGAGGGTAAGCAGAACGATAATCAATTTGATTGGCCGAGACTTTGGAACACAATAACTCTCCTTCTAATTGAGCTAGAATGTTCAAACTTGGTGTAGGTGTTTACGAGGTCAATGCCTTGATAGAGTGCAAAGATGAGCATTTTCTGCTTATGGTAAGTAGAGATAAGCAATTTGATTGGTTGATGCTTTGGGACATGATAACTTTAGTTCTAATTAAGTGAGAGTGATGAAACTTGGTGTATGGTTTCATTACATCAATACCTTGCCTAAGTTCGATGATGAGAATTGTCTGCTTAGGCTAAGGAGCAATAAGCATTTTGATTGGTCAAGACTTAGGAACATAACAACTCTGCTTCTAACTTGATGTTGATGTTCGTCTTGACCAAATTCAATGATTAACATATCAAGCTAAAGCTAAGCAGAGATAAGCAATTTCCTTGGTCGATGCTTTGGGACAAGATAACTTTGATTCTATCTGATAGAGAGTGATGAAACTTAGTGTATAGTTGATAATCAGTTTGATTGCTCGATACTTTTGAAAAAAATAGATGTGCGATTAATTAATATGTGTCATCTATTTATTTGGGGATTTCGGCGGGGGACATCAGCCTCACTGTTGGCTTGTTAAAGAATTTAAAATGTTATTCTTGTGAAAAATAACATTTTATTTTTTGTTTTATCTTAACACTGAGTGTACATGTATATGCAAATATACATGTATGGAGCCACATGGCTCGGTGAATAAGGTGCTCAGTGATTGGTGTGGTTTAAAAAAAAAGAAAAAAAGAACCTTTGACAGTTGGAATTCAATTAAAAACAGACAGAAACATTTTGTCTGGGTAAAATCTCCCTCATAGAGCAGCGCCAATTGCATGGCCTACAATGTATGCTGGACTATGCCTATCTTCATTTTTCCCGGTTAGTGGCTCCCCTCCCCCCCCCCCCCTTGGGATTCCTAAAGAGAGAAAAGTAATGGTATTGACATTGAGTTTGGTAGCTGATTATAAATAGTTGACAGTTATCCATGTAACTGGCAGTTTCTGTCTTTTATATTTTAGAGGAGAGCCGAAAAAAAGCGCCCCGTATTCAACAAATTGAAAAAAGCTCTCCCAGTTTCGATAAGAAGAATGATTTAGAAATTAAGGAGAGTGCTCTGATATTAAGGAGAGTGATTAGTTGTGTGTATGGGAAATGATTCTCAGGATCAATAACTGCATGTTGGGGGGGGGGATCATTCCTGGTTTCATAAATGATAATAAACCCCCAATGACTTTGTAAAGGAGAGCGATTTTCAATTTTAAGGGGAGGGAAAAAAACTCCCCTTGGTCGACATTTTGAGGTGCTAGAAGGAGCTGGCGGTCCAACAAATATAATAAAACATAAACTGTCTGCACATGAATTCTGGTTTAGCCTCATGCTAAAGGATATAATTGAAATAAAGTATTGTATGTTTGTCCTAAAAATAGAGTTCTAAAGTCCTAAAATTACCAGCATGCCAGCTGTTATGAGTGGGTGTTCAATCCTGTTGCCTTCCTTAATTACAAATATATTTGAGAATATTATAACAAAATTTTCTCATTTGAAAAAAATTGAGTCTATTATTCATGATTACAGCTGTCACCAAATTAATTAAACCACTGAATATCAATAAGGATCAGGTCTGTTGGGTGGCCCAATTGGTCTAATGCATACACTTTAGGTCAAAAGGTCTCTCATTGAATCAAGTGAGTGGCAGTTTTTTTTGGAGGGGGGGAGGTCCGGTACTGCAAGTTTCTTCCCACTGCTAAAGACCCCTACATGCAAGCAAATTAAATTATTGAAATAAAATTGCACCAGATGTTTGGCCTGAAATGACCTAGTCTGTGTTGAGTGGACAATAAACCCTATATATATCATTAAGTACCACTACCATGAGCAGATTTTATGATGTTTCTATCAGATTTGAGAGTGGAGAGAAAATAGTGTGCCAAGGGAGAGAACTCTGCAAATGTCACTGTTTAGACTATGTACACAAGATCAGATGAATGGTGGGACATGGTTTATTATATATAGGCAACAAATAATCCCAAGTCCATTCTCTAAATGAACGAAATGGTCTAAAATATTACAGTGTTGATATATCAGCTGTGCAATCAGTGATTGTACTATGAGGAATAAAGTTATAATCCAATTTACTCCAAACCAAACCCCCTGCACAATCCAGTTTATGCAATAACAATTAATCCCATATAAGTCCCAAAACAACATGGTTGTAATATGTAACTATTTGTCTCTTTTATTACTATCCTTCACTGGAAAGTCTTGATTCTAGTGCAGGCTCGTAGCTAGCTGGGTGTGCAGCTGCCCCAACTGGGTGCCGAAACGCACCCTTTCCATTGGACGCAATATGTAGCCAACGACCAACGTGCCCATATCAGTATGGGTGCCTGAGTGACATTGTTGAGCTGCCCCCCCACCCTGCTAGCTACAGGCCTGTAGTGCTCTAGACAATGATCTGTCCTTGTCGTTGATTACAGAAAAAAAGTTTTGAGTCAAAATGAAGGTGAAAAAAAAATGATAATCTACATGTGAAACGTACAGAATAAAAATAAAGTATTTCATTAATATGGTAATTTATAATGTATGTTTATCATTTATTAATAATCCTATATGTACATTAACCACTAAATATACTCTAATATATTTTACAATTAAAGATTTTTATATCACATTTAATTTAGTTTAACAGTTCTCAATGTTTCTATTACACCAAAATATATGCTTATATATTTTACACCTAAATATAAACAATTAAAAATTCATAAATTGATAAAGACGAGAGTATCCTTGTGAAATGTGGCTTAGTATCAAACTCAGTAATTGTATATCCATAAAATTGTACCCTGTGTTAATATGTTCAATTACTAAATGCCAATCAAAGAAGGAACTAAAAATCCATATATCACACTTAATGTTAGTAATTTATGTTTACAATTCTTTATATACACATATTTATTGTGGCATGATTATGGAATGAATTATATATAATTACTTTTATTTAATAACTTTTTGTTTATTTGGTGAACTATGAATTTTGTTAATGCTTTAGTTATTGATTTATGTAAATACTGACTAAAAGATAGTTCCTTGAAGAAAATAAGAAGGGTGATGTATTTCATACCAATATATCCCTGGACAGCTCAAAACCTTCCTTATCCCTGGATAAACCACCAGAAAATAGTTCTCCTTGTTGTAGGACCGTATACTAGTTCTAGGGAGCACCACAACTATTCAAGCGACTGGAAAGGTCTAAGGAACTAGTCACAGACTGTTCCAAGCAGTCCAAGCACTAAAGGGTTAAAAACCTATTACAAATACATTATTTCTTATCAAAAAATGAAAGTAGAGAGGGAGTGTTCCAAGTAGTCCAAGCACTGGTTAAAAACCTATTATTACTGAGATTGACCTACAAATATATTATTTCTTATCAAAAAATGAAAGTAGAGAGGGGGTGTTTGTATTTGTTTTGTTTTTTTTACTTTTCTTATTTGAACTTGAGGGAGACAGTTTCCGTTTACTAGTCGATTGCGACGACGATGATGACGAAATTCTTGGAATCATAGAAATGTTGGTTTCTTTCTGTAATTCTAACGCAAAATGATAATCATGATGTTCTGGCATTTCCCACACTGGGATACGTTTTTGACATTTTTCACATTTCACAAAATCTGTTTCATCTAACACAAAATTCATGGCACCATCTTGGTCTCCATTTTGAACGTCCGAAATGGTACCTACATTCACATTATCACAAACAGACATTTCTTCACGCAAATTATCTGTAGCACTAGCAGTCATCACCGATTTGGTCTCAGTTTCAAAGTTTGAATTTTCTACATTATTATCAGATTCAGAAGTGTTGATATAGCAATTCATGTCTGATGTGACGTCAGTTCTTCTGAGGGAATCAGATAATTTGGCGCCATTACAGACATTAAGATTATTATTGTCGTTTTCAAACACATTACGATCAATTTCTGCCAACTTCTTATGTATCTTTAAGTCACTGGATGTTTTTAATTCATATCCACACTTTTGATTGCGTTTCTCTATTATAGCACTGTTACTGCCATCAATTAAAGTTTTATTTTTGATAATTTTTCTATCATCACAATATGGTAGATTTTTACTTTTAGAAGCAAAGAATCCTTTTCCAGAACCTTTAACTGTGTTTGTCGTAGAAGGTAATTTTTTAATAATTTCAATTTTTCTATCGTCTTCTACACAATCAGTATTATTAACTGTCGCAGTGTTGTTTTGGAAAAATGTCTTAATGCTACCACGCTTGGATTTTGTTACTTTTTCTTTATCGTTTATAATATTTACTGCCGGTGATATAAGCTCTTCCTGTGTGTCTGGAATCTGACCGCTACTAACAGATGTAACTGTTGATGTTGCACTTTTAGCGTTAGCAAACATGGTGGCAATATTTGGCGTGTCGCTTGTTTTCTCTTCAACGAATTTTCCAGCACAAATTCCCAGATTCAAAATGGCAGGAGTCCTGAATTTAAGAGATACAATGAATTAAAATCAAAACTTTTATTTAGGATGAAATGTAGTTGACCATCTTATAAATATTTAACTAGGTCACCGTGAGACTATTTTTGTTTTCTATGATTATAAATGTACAGTGGAGAAGGATTCTGCCAATTATAGAAGAATTTTAATGTAGTCTCTTTCACATTACAACAATCAAAGCCTCTTTTCCAATGTTCAAATCCTGACATTGCCCAAAAAGAACCTTTAGAATTTTTCTCAAGCATGCTTTCACTGATTAAAATACAGAATTATATTTTGTTTGTTTTTTTTATACTTTCGATGGCCTACCCTACATGAAGATCAGATCAGTTGTAGTGCGAGGTAATACGAGCGGCTTTTGACCCTATGATGTCAAACATTTGATTAAGTAATCAGCATTGATGTTTCTAGTAGGATACCCACAGTTCCGTGTATCACACGCCAAGAACTCGCTGGAATATACTGTTTCAATGATATTTTGAGCTATAAAAAACCAAGCAAAAGAGGATCTGTGTTTTAATCAGATTGGAGACTGTCAGGCTGACAAGAAAAGTGTGCCTAGTCTTTGGGAAGGGACAAAAAAAAAAAACCCCAGTCGCCACCCCACCAGTAAATTAAACAATGATGACCCTACATTATCAAAAGGGTTTCACTAACTTACCAGCAGTCTTGATGTGGAGGCGAAGTATTAAATTTTTGTAAGAGTGCAAATGTATCGTCTCTTATTTTATCTTTATCATATCTGAGTAGAGCACATGTCCTGGAAGCCGCATGATCACCAATATATCGTAACGATACTGTTAACGATTTAGCTGTTCTTTTATTCTGTCATTAGAAATTAAATGGAAGTATTTATAAAGTAATTAGATTTACATTTAAACCCACTTATTGTCATTTGAGTGATTTTGTATAGATTTACATTTAAACTCACTTATTGTCATTTGAACGACTTTGAATAGCATAAAAGCTGAATCTCTTTAAGAAATATCAGTCCAAAATGGTTCCATTCTGGCCCCGAGTTCACAAAGAATTTACTCATCTTTCAATCACTGTTTAAGAGAAACATCTTTGATCAGGAAACACAAAATTTTGCACATAGTTTCTTATGGATGTATTTGATACATTAAAACAACAGAAGTTTATAAAGGGCTTTATATTAGTTAAAATAAAGCAAACAATTTTGAGTAAATTGTTAACTTAAGTCTGAGAATGCTTTGTGAACTCTGGGCCTTTTCAGTCTTTACAAACATATGATGAATTGAAAATTTTGAAACATTCAGTATCTTTTGCAGATAATTTAAAGATGGGTTCCCAGAAAAGTATTTATCGGGTGGTTATTTCCAATAAAAGTATGGCAATTTTGGTATATATGGAAAGTAGAGATATCCAATCTTACTAGAAAAATACTGGATTCCCCGAAAAACACTCATGGAGCGTATACAGGACAAAAATGTAAGGGTTCCCCTATTTGATAGCCCGACGATTAGGAATTTCTGCACGCGTGATGTTAAAGGTCACGCGCGAACATTGAGTGCTTGATGGACAAGTTTATAAACTTTATAAAGAGTTAGACGTAGAACACTTTCTGAGATAAAAAATGATGGAAAAAGACGCGGGTAGTGGATAATCCGAGATTTTAATTAGGATTCGATATTTGTAATAAATAGTAAGCGATTAAAGACAACATTGTCTTATGTATGCAATGAATTCTCCTCTGACTTGCAAGAGAGGTAAGTCACGTGAAGTAAACATGACTTGGTTTGATCAAATTTTTATAGCAGGGCATTCCTTGGCAATTACAATGTTTGAGAAGGATTTGAAGCAAAATTATGACAAATTAATTAGTTTGAATATGTTTTTAGTCCATATATACCATTAAATCACCCAGTTTGTACGCGGGAATGTATCTTTAAATAAACTGGGTAAAATCTTTTGGTCAGCATCTTTTCAATTCGACTGAATACAAAATGGAAGATTATCTACCGTTCATATATTGGTTTGGTTTTGCGTGTACAAAATCGTGAAAAATTGGATATTGCCTGAAAAATGCATGATCATGATTTAGTGACTTTAATGTGGATGATAAAAAAAACAATTTAGAGAAATGAGAAATTATTAAATCTTACACTTTCTCGATCTTTGATCAATCTCTCTGTGACTTCCTCCGATAATTCAGATATCCAATGTTTTACCTTAAAGAGAAAGGCAAATGGGGTGAAAACCCACAAAGTTGAGCATGCAACTCTATAACCTATTCACTGGGCTAATATTGAATTCTAAGGGATTTTTTACGTGCACGCCAATGTATACACAGGACCTTGGTTTCTCAGGCCCTCCGTCCTGTACAACTGACAAAGGGAAACCACGCTGGAAAATCCCAATGAACTTTCTCGGCCTATGGAGGGATTGAACACCGGACCTCCAGGCTAGCGAGCCAGTGTCTTACCCACTTAGCCACCATAACCCCATGCACCAGAGAGCTATATATCATGTAAATACCTTAACATTGGTTTTGCCTTCAACAGACCCAAGGGATAAATAATTATGGGACATGTACATGTGACATGGTTTCTGAGAATATAAGGCTTTACTTTATTCTACCTTTTTTCTGGTATTCAGGCATTCTTTACCCGTAAAGTTTTTACCACAACCAATAGATTTTGCTAATTGTCTCGCTGATACCAGTTCGTGATCAAATCCTCGACATACATTGTACAACCATTTACTACAAATACACAAAATACTGTTTATACTGGTATAAACAAACCATTAAACATACATCATGCAAGAGCTAAATCTGCCTATTGCAGGTCTTTCTTTAGGCCTGAAATGTTTTTCTAAATTATTAATTAGACATTAATTAACTTATCCAGACCATAATCAACTCTCGATGGCATCAGATACTCAAGATTTTATTTAGATTAGAACGGTTTGCCATTTAAAAATTTAATTTAAAAATGGGAAAGCAAGGCTAAGTACCGAATATATTAGTGCCCTGGTTACCACAATGCACACATCTTGTCAAAACTACAAAGAGTGATAACTTGGCTCAGAATGAAGTAATTTGAATGAAATTTTCAATATTTTCGTTTTACATTATTTATTTTTGAGCTATTACAGCAAGAATGGTCAGCTCTTTATCTAAATCTGAACATATTTTATCTTTTTGTGCCGTCTTGCACTTTCATGCTGTGCCAGTCCCCGTTTGGAAAATGGATCAATTTTGTATGCAACCCAAAAAGGTTAGCGGTTGAAAAATTAACAGACACTTCTTACCAGTGGTCATATATGCATGTCTATTTAAAGTTGCTAGTAGCCTTTTAAATTTGTTGAAATGACAATATTGTGAAATCTTAGAGGAATATCAGTCCAACATGGTTTGATTCTCTTCTATATTTGGGAACCACGGTGGTTAAGTGGGTAAGGCGCTAGCCTGGAAGTTGCGGGTTTGATCCCGGTGTATGCAGAGAAAGTTCATCAGGAGTTGCCGGCATGTTTGCCCCTTGTCAGGGCCTGACAAGGACAGTCGGCTAGTTGTTCGGATGGTTAAAAAAAAAACGAGGTCCCGTGCACACATTCGCGTGCACATAAAAGATCCATTGGCAGTTGGAATTTGATATTATAGTAAACTCTAGCATCACTTTCTGGACCAAATTTCCCTCATAGTACACTTCATGGTATATACCAAACTTTATTAGCCCAGTTAACGAAGTTCAATGTATTATTTGTTTCCTAAGAAGAGAACATCTTAATTTCAAACTTTTTATTAAAGGATTAAAAGCTTACCCTTTATCACCATAACTTTGAACGAGGTCTTCCTGGGAAAATCGGCACAAATCTCCAATAAATTCTACATTAAATTGTTCTACCAATGAATCACCTAATTTTCCACCCAGATGACGACTGAACAAAAGAAATATATATTTAACATTTTTCAATTTTTATCGCAGACAAACCCGAATTTGGCCTATGGTTTATATTAGCGATGTCACTACGAGTTGACCGGGCAGGAAAAACGTTTTTTAAACAATAAAGATTCTTTAACACATTGCTTTGCTAATGAACTTATGGAAAAGCAACAGGATCTGTATTTTAAATTAAACACTACGTTTCTTGTCTGTGTCATTTATTTGCTCGGAGATAATGTTTCCAAACCCGAGGTCTAGGTAAAACCCATGAGGTTAGACAGGTAACCCTTTTCCTGGTCACATACAAGTGTGAGATCAAAACAACGCCTCTTGACTCAATGACAGACATTATGATCCAAAGCGCATGCATTAGACTACTCGACCTTTCCCATGCCTCTAAATTTATATAACTTACATTTTACCGACAGGTAGGGTAGAAAACAACTGCTGTACAGAATCATGTGGACAAACTGTGTAACTTACATTTTACCGACAGGTAGGGTAGAAAACAACTGCTGTACAGAATCATGTGGACAAACTGTTTGACGATTCGGTTTATGAAACCCACACACAAGTTTAGCTATCACCTACAAAAAACAAACAAATAACCCAATAATCTTTGCCACGTTTGTGAAAAAGAGTTCCTTCCCTTTAACCAGTCTACATAACAATCATACGTGACGGGAAACAACAAATGAATGGTTCCATTACTGATGTCTTATGTCTTGAATCCAGCCAGAGTATTGATGGATCTACGGACTTCCTCTGACAAAGTTTTGTAACTCCCTTAATTTCCAATTAAAACTGGTCCCAAATTCTACTGCACATAGCTTAACATATAATAAACTAATTCTCATGTAAATAACGGTGAAACCTTTCCGCACAATTACATGATTGGATAAAATCCAACGGCTACGCAATATTTCTTTGTTTTAAAAAGGCCACAAAACCAAAATTAGCATATACACAATTAAATGTCATTCCGAAAATGTAGAAAAACTGTTCGGTAACTGTTTTAGTGGTCCAGTCTTCACTATTTGTGATAGGTTTACTTATTTCAATACAAACTGTGATGATATGTGTTGAGCATTATGCGTTTAATCGTATTTATAGTTGCGCAAAACCGTGTAGAATGTACCAATTTGCAGTCAGGAAACAACATATTCAATTAATTTTACTAGAGTATAGTTTTGTTGAACAATGGTCAGTACACTAAAACATGAACAATGGACAATACACTGAAGTCAAACAGAACCTACTTTATTATGTGCAATTCCAGCTGAACAGCGAAATCCTGTTTCTTCAAATACAGCAGCTCTCATTTCCTCCACTATACATGCAGCTACCGCTAATTTTTTATTATAAATATTAGTTTCTTCAGAATCTACAACTCTACTTAACCATTCCTTTAATCCATCTTCTCGTGGTGTTTCTACAAATATTACAGTCAGTTACCGTAATTCAAACAATACTGATTTTTATAAATGGATATAAATAACACTATTTCTAACCCAACAGATTGTGGAATCCTGTTCACTACATATTTGGCTTAAACAATATTTATTTGCAATGTTTACAATTATATATCTACATAAGGGTATCTTGGATAGGAAAACAAGCATAAATATGCTTACAAATATTTAAACAGGCATTATGCAAGAGCTAAATCTGCCAACTGCAGGTCTTTCTTTAGGCCTGAAATGTTATCTAAATTATTAAACATTAATTAACTAATCCAGACCATAATCAACTCTCGTTGTCATCGCTAGCATGCGATATTTACTGGATTATAATCCAGTCTGCTGCTCAAAGCTCATTCATGATTAAATCAAAAAATGGATAATTGAGACTATGTTTTTTTCGTACCGACTTTAGTAATGATGATCGAGGCTAGGACCAAAATTCAATTGCTAAATTCTCGATTCAGAGTGGATCAATTTGACTGAAATTTTCAGCAAATTCCCTTTACATTATCTAGTTTTTAACTATTATAGTGAGAACTGCCAGCTCTTTATCTAATCTCCCATAATGTATCTTTAACAATACTGGTTTATAATCTCCCACATTTTTTCAGTTTAACTATTTTATTATAAACACAAAAATATAACATAAGCGACATTTCATTGAGGGATCTCTCAACGTTAGAAACGTCAAATTAATTAAAATAGTAATTGTGTTCAGTATTATGTTTTTGTGTTTATTATGTGTGTCAATTACTAAATACCTCAAAGAAGATGTTGTATTTATATAGTAAATAAAGTCGACGAAAACTTATTTCTATATGATATATTCTATGTTGGCTGTATTTCAATAAAAAAAAAAGAAAGTTTATCCCATCTTTTTACCTTTTTGATCAAAGCCAACAATAAAAGTATTCTGTAGTTTATCAGGTGTAACATTTGATATATTTTGTTCTTCCATTCTTTTCTCCACTTCATCTGTCAAATCTATATATGCTTCATCAACACTAGCTCTCTCAACACATGAACTAAACTTAGAAAATACTTCTATAACTTCAGCTCCTGCTTCACGATATCTGATAAAAAAAAAATATATACAATCAACTATATTACTTCAACCAAAATGGGGGGGGGGGGGGGGTCTGGGTGGATGGCCGAATGGTTAGCACGCGCGCGCTGTATCATGCGGTCTGCCATTGAGTCAACTGGCAGGTTTCGATTCCCTGGTTGTACGTGACAAGGAGTAGGGTCGCATTTCCAATCTCGTGGGGTTTTTCCGGGTCCTCCGGTTTCCCACTGCTAAAGACCCCTACGCGCAAGCGAATTATTGAAATAAAATTAAACAATATGTTAGTCCAGAAATGACCTAGTTTGTGTTGAGTGGATGTTAAACCACATTTCTCTCTCCCCCCCCCTCTCCCTTTCTCTCAACCAAAATGTATCGGAATGAAATGGGCTTTAATGTCCTACCTTTCTGCACCAACTGATCATGAGATAATGAGCGTAGGGGTCTTTAGTAGTGGGAAGAAACCGGAGGACCCGGAGAAGACCCACAAGGTTGGACAGGCAACCCTACTCCTTGTCACACACAACCAGGGAATCGAAACCACGCCAGTTGACTCAATGTCAGACCTTATGGTACAGAATTGAAATGAAATGGAGTTTAACATCCTACTGTTCTGCTCAGAACTGGGGTAATGAAGTGGAATATACGCCATCTAGTGTGCTATGAGGGAAATTTTGCCCCGACAGCAATTGAATTCCATCTGTCAAGGATTCTTTTATGTGCATGCCAATGTGTACATGGGACCGTTATTTTTTGGCCCATCCCAATGACAAGAGACTGTTTTTGTCAGGCACTCTGTCCTGACAAGGGGGAACAATGCTGGAAAATTCCTGACTATGCCATAGAGTAGTGTGCTATGGGTGAAATTTTGCCCCAACAGCGGCGCTACAGCCTACTCTTGTATCAAAGCTTTTACGTGCATGCCAATGTGTACACAAGACCTTGTTTTTCCGTCCCATCCGAATGACTATACATTGTCCATTGCCTGGCCCTCAGTCCTGCACCACTAACAAGGAGGAACCCAATGCAGGGATCGAAACATTGTACCTCCAGGTGAGCGAGTCAACGTCTCACCCACTGAACCACCGATGCTCCCCCCGGCTATCGGATAGGAAACATTAGTTATCTAGAGTCTCAAATTGCTTGTATGTCTTTATTTGGAAGTTGACATTGAATGAATATTGAAAGGAAAGGAATACAACATCTCATCAAACTAATACTTTGCCTAGTTTGAGACTAACAAAAAAAAACACACTTTATACAGTTAAATGTAATAGGAAAGTTTAAAAAAGCTCTGCTGTCTATCTATTTCGTTTGTTGGTCATAACATAAAAGCTTACTTGGTAAGGTCTGCTTTTCCTCTAACTACAGGCACACGAACCAAATTGATTTCAGGACATTTAGCCTTGGCATCATCTCCTCTCATATTTCTAGTTACACCACAAGCTCTAGCCTCATAACCTACAGCTATTATACTGTAATAAAAAAAACAGAAAGAAATACTCTTCAATTCAAAGACACTAGCAGTAAGAGAGAGAGAGAGAGAGAGAGAGAAATGGGGTTTAACGTCTACTCGACACAAACTAAGTCATTTTGGAACTAACATATGGTCCAATTTTATTTCAATAATTTGCTTGAGCATAGGGGTCTTTTGTGGTGCGTTAACCATTTGACCACCCAAAGTCACCCAATCCCCCCACATCGACAGTAAGCATGAGAGATAACTTGATGGGTTTATATCTGACAAAAAAAAAAGTATGCAGGGGAATTGAAGAATCTGGAAAATAATCTTAAATTTAAAGACAGTAAGCAGTAGAGATCAGAAAAGTTTATAATAAAAAAAAATGTGCATCAGCCAATTAATAAGCACTTAAGGAACCTGGAAAAATCCTACAGCCAGGCTTTATACAATGATTAAAAGACTATGTCACAAATGTTGTCTTGTCTTGATAGAGTGCTGAAGAGAAGCCTTTATAGATTTGACTTCAAGTACTACTCATCTTCTTGGGGGCAATGCTCTTCATAGAAAGCCTAAGGCCCTGCCTACCAATTCAATGACTGTTCCTTGGAGAATTGTGCATCGACTCTTACCCGCCTCCTTTCCATTTCTTATATTGAACAACAGCACATGGTTTGCCTTTTAGACTTGGGTTCGATCTTTGTTCAACTTGAACATAGAAACAGTCCATGTCTACCAATACCACCGTTCTTTCCATTTTATGATTATGTCCTTGTTTTCCTAAAAAAGAAAAAAATCGAAGCAGTCTGATTGCTGATAAGATAACATTGAACTAGATATCATAACAAGATGCCTGCATATAGACTTCAGTTCACATTGGATAGACTTCTGATAATAACTGTTTCCAGAACTCAACAAAGAGAGAGAGAGAGTGAGACAGAGAGGAAAAGGCTTCCATTCCACACTGGGTCATTTTTGGACTAATACATGGTTCAATTTTATTTCAATAATTTGCTTGCACATATATAGCCGTTGGCCGGTTGGGGTCTGGAGTTCCAGGAGAAAACCAATCTGGTTAAAACACAGATCCTATTGCGTTTCGTTTTTATAGTGTTCAAAATTTCGTTTTACTTGTCTTTACTACACTTGGATCTAGAAGAGTTGTTATTTAACTTGTGTTCTGAATGGGAGTGGTACTTTTTACCGCCGACCAATACTTTTACCGCCGACCGTCATGAAATTACCGCCGACCAAATACTTTTTACTGCCGACCGCACTGTAATGACTTTCGATCGTAATATAATTACCCACAACTAAATACAACCCTAACCCTAACCCTCGCACTAATAGAAGATAGGCCTAAAATGTTATTTTTTTATAACCAGTAGCTGAAACAATCTTGATATATTTGCCCTTCAATATCTAAATTGTAGTTTTGTCCTTCCATATTCTTTAAAATATATATGAATGTTTTTCGACAGTTGTACGTGATTACACCTCAAATAAAAAATAACATTCTTGTTGTATTCTTTTTTATAAAAAAAAAAACATCCGTAAAATAGTCGGCGATAAAACAAGGAATCATTAAGCATTTGGTCGGGGGTAACAAGTATTTGGTCGGCGGTAATTATATTACGGTCGAAAGTCATTACAATGCGGTCGGCGGTAAAAAGTATTTGGTCAGTGGTAATTACACGACGGTCGGTGGTAAAAAGCATTAAGTCGGCGGTAGTCGGCGGTAAAAAGTACCACCGTTCTGAATGGTGTCAGGGATAAGCCAATTAAACGCTCTGTTACGGCGAGCTTTAGGCGTGTTTTGCACAGAACTGTGGGTAATCCACTAGTAACATCAATGCTGATTGGTTAATCAAATGTCTGCCGTCATAGGCTATGTCATAGGGTCATAAGTCGGTCTTTTGACCCCTGACGTGACCTATGGCTATAACTTGTCAGATCTTCATGTAGTGTAGGCCATCGAAAGTATAAAAAAAACAAAACGAAATATAGATCTGTATTTTAATCAGATTGGGAGAAAACCAACGAGGTTGAAAAGGCAACCCTACTCCTTGTCACATACAAGCAGGGTATCGAAACCACCCCACTTGACTCAATCACAGACCTTACGTCTAACGCGCACGCGTTTAACCATTCGTACACCCACCCCTACGTCGATATTGAACTAAAGTCTAAATCATTTAGTAAATGTCAAGAGAGCCAAAACAAAACAAAACACAACACAACAGACTGACAGAACTTTTGTATCGTATTTTTCCTGCCATGTATAAATAAATATGGCGTTCTATATTCAGAGATAAGCGACTGATATCATTTTTCATGACCATTGATATTTCGACTTTTACTTACAAATAAATAAGTTTTATAACCAAATTTTATGTTTTCCCTCCATTTTGGAAAGGGAGATTACTCCCGTTTGCGACCTGAAAAACCTATCTTTACGAACGGAGAGTTGAAACCCCGGGAGATCATGCGGACGTATGAACAGGTGTGACGAAAGGTGAAAAAATTAAATCTGACTGCAACAGAATTATGAATATTGTTATTAGGCAATCATGGTTGACTTGATTCCTTTTCAGTTAGGAATAGGATCTGGAGTCAAATTAACCAAGAATAAATATTCCATAGACAATCACAATTTATAAATATTTTGGTGATTTCGTTTTTCTCCAAAAAACTGTACAATAAACAATTCTAAAAGTAAAACATTTATTTTTACTAAACTTTGTGTTATTATTTCAACTAAAATCGTTTTCACAATAAAATTTTGACACTGATAATTAATTTCTTTACTATCACCATTTTCATCATAAATTTATTAAAGGTGCTTATAATTATAAGTGGGGGCCAGATTGGCTAGGTGGGAAAGAAAAAAGAAAAAAAGACGCTGGCTCACTAAACGGAGATCGGGTGTTTGATTCCTGCATTGGCCGAGAAAAGTTTATCAGGATTTTCCGACGTGGATTTACCATGTCAATGATGCAGGATGGAGGGCCTGACAAGGACAGCTGTCTAGTCATTCGGATGGAACAAAAAAACAAGGTCCCGTGTATACATTGGCGTGCACATAAAAGATCCTTTGGCAGTTGGAATTTGATATAAATGTGGGCCAGAATGCCGCTGCCCAAGCAAATTCTCCCTCATACTCATAGCGCACAGTTTGGAGTATGCTCATCTCCATTAGCCCAGTATAGGAGAACAGTAGGACATTAAACCCCATTTCATTTCATTTCATTTGCATTATAAATATAAGAGCTAATTATCTGTATATTGTATTTATTTTAGCCTCAAATGTTACATAAACTATTATTTAGACATTTATTCGCATGATAAACCTATAATCAACTCTCTCGACCATCAGATTGCTGAGATTTAAATGGTATAGAATGCTCGCAAGATTTAAAAAGTTAATGATAGATTTTTTTTAAAATTTGAGAAATTTAACAAAGGCTATGGGGTATGTCATTGAGTCAGGTGGCATGGCTTCAATCCCACACTAGTACGTGACAAGGAGTAGGGTCGCCTGCCTAACCTTGTGGGTTTTCTTCAGGACCACTGGTTTCCTCCCACTGCTAAAGACCCCTACTCGCAAGCAAATTATTGAAATAAAATATTACCATATTTTAGTCCTGAAATGACCCAGTTTGTTTTGAATGGACTGTTGAAACGATTTTCTCTCTGTGTCTTAGCCTTTTTCAGTGTGATTAAATAGAGTATCCTCAAGTGGTTTTACAAGTTCAAATAATTATTTGTGATTAACTATTTACTAACGAAAAAAAGCATTACACAGAATAATAATCAAATTGTTTATACTGTTATTTGGATAGGGTGAGACTGGGTCCCCCACCTGGGTCGTTATTTAAATAGGGTGAGACTGGGTCCCACCTGGGTCGTTATTTAGATAGGGTGAGACGGGGTCCCCCACCTGGGACGTTATTTAGATAGGGTGAGACGGGGTCCCCCACCTGGGTCATTATTTGGATAGGGTGGGCCTGGGTCCCCCACCTGGGTTGTTATTTGGATAGGGTAAGTCTGGGTCTGAATTAGTCACAATCTTAAAATAGTTTGGGAATTGAACAATTCTTGTCCAAACTATCAGCAAAAATATGTAACTTTTAATCTACAAATGTTAACATAGCTGTCATTTGAAAAAAAATGGGGAACATACAGAAAAAAGGATGGCCTATCTAGTGAGGGAGGTGTGTGCCCAGAAAACATGTGGCTATTAAAGGAAAAGTGGTGCACCTGTAAAAATAAGGGTTGCACAGGTTGCATCTAGCCAAGTAAGAGTTGCACATAGAATAAAAGCATAAACTCAGATTTTCCTAGCCGAAAAAGGATTGCACTTAGACAAAAAAAAGTGTGATCCCAGGAAAAAAGGGGTTGTCCCAAGCAGAGTAGGGTTGCATATCGAAAATGAAGTCTAGATCGACCTAAAAAAGGCATTCACTCAATCTGATTAAAATACAGATCTATATTTCGTTTGGTTTTTTTTTTTATACGTTCGATGGCCTACACTACATGAAGATCTGACCGGTTGTACTGGAAGGTTGTGTCAAGGGTCGTGTGAGCGGCTTTTGACACTATGACGTTAGACATTGATTAATCAATCGGCGTTGATGTTTCTAGTGGTTTACCCACAGTTCCTTGCATCAAACGCCAAGAACTCGCTGTAACAGACTGTTTCATTGGCTAATCCCTCACTTCAACCAGAACGCCGGTAATATAACAACGCCAAGAACTCGCCGTAACAGACTGTTTCATTGGCTAATCCCTCACTTCAACCAGAACGCGGGTAATATAACAACTCTTCCAGATCCTAGTGTAGTAAAGACAAGTAAATTGAAATTTTGAACTATAAAAAACCAAATTTTGAACTATAATAAATGAAACAAAGCAGGATCTGTGTTTTGGTCAGATTGGCATTCACTAGGATTTCTGGAAATATTTGGTGGTGAAAATAAACCAGCTGTTATATATTTAGAATTTCTAAATTATTTTAACATTTTTAATTTTTTTTTATTTTTTAGGTTGGCTGTTTAATTGACTATATACTTGTCTTCATGAGCCGAGTTGGAGCAGTACAGTAGTACGTTAAACCCCATTTCATTTCATTAATTGACCATATAAAGCTTTAGAAAATGTGATTTGCAGAATTAATGGAAGAATTAGAAGATTTGGTAAGTACTTAGTAAAATAATATGTTTGTTTGTTTCTCTTGTTTTTTTTTTAAAATTAAAAATGATCAACAAATTAGAAAATCGGAGTTTTATGCTATAATTAGTCATGCAGTAATAGTGTTGTATAACATTTTGTGATAATTAGATGATTTTGTTAGCGGTAGAAATATGTTTATTTTTTGGGAGGGGGTGGGGGTTGTAGAATGGTCAATGAGTGTGCGTTACATCATAAGGTCTATCATAGAGTCAAATGGCATGGTTTTGATTCCTGGATAGTACATGACAGGGTAGGGTTACCTGTCAAACCTCATGGGTTTTCTCCGGGTCCTCCGGTTTCCTTCCACTGCTAAAGACCCCTACGCTCAAGCGAATTGTTGAAATAAAATTCAACGATATGTTAATCCCAAAATGACCTAGTTTGTGTCAAGTGGAGTTAAACCCCATTTCTCTCTCTCTCTCTCCATTGTGTAGTTTCATAAACAAGAGAGGAAATGGTGTGTTTGTGATAAACAAAAAGGAAGTGGCAGTACTAGCCAATCTCTGTATTTTGTTACATGATGGTCATTTTTATATACAA